GTCACACATGGTGCGGCAGGTCCTTCAGCGCTTCCGCTTCACGTACTCCTCGCCAAAGTCCACTCCTCTGCCTACCGGTCACTCGCTCTCAGCTCTGCCTTCGGATAAGTCCGTAGAGCCGAGTGGCCCGTATCCAGAGCTTGTGGGCTGCTTCATGTACCTGATGACCTGCACTCGACCTGACCTTGCTTACCCTCTTAGCATCCTGGCACGCTACGTTGCGCCCGGGAGACACCGACCAGAGCACTGGGAGGCCGCCAAGAGGGTGTTGCGCTACGTGTGCAGTACGTTGAGCATGGGGCTCGTGCTTGGAGGACGGGCTCGAGTTGTCCTCACGGGACACGCAGACGCTTCTTGGGTTGACGACTTGGCTACGCAGCGGTCGTCACAGGGTTACACCTTCAGCCTTGGCTCCGGCTCTGTTTCTTGGCGGTCTACCCGCTCGTCTTCTGTTCTCAGTTCCAGTTGTGAGGCTGAGATCTACGCAGGGGCCATGGCTGCACAGGAGTTACGCTGGCTCACCTACCTGCTGACCGACTTGGGCGAGCCGCCTTGTTCTCCTCCAGTTCTGTACGTCGACAACAAGGCCATGATTGCCTTGTGTCAGGAGCACAGACTGGAGCACAGGACGAAGCACATCGCTCTGCGTTACTTCCTTGCTCGAGAGTTGCAGTAGCGTGGACAGCTTCGTCTTGCTTACGTGGCCTCTCGGGCCAACACTGCTGATATCTTCACCAAGGCACTTCAGCCTTGTGATCATCAGCGTTTCTGTACTGTTCTAGGCCTTGTGCCTACTTGGCCTCACTTGCTCACTTCTTGACTTTGCTTGTACTGTGATCTATATGCTTATACCTGCATGCTTACACTTGCTAGGTTTTGATCACTGTACTGCTTGTTGTGCTTTATATAACTCTGCATATGAACTGGCCTTGTGGCCATTTGCTTGTACTCAGAGTGTGTGGTGACTTCGTGATCCACCCTGAGCTTGCTTTGCTTTTCTTGACTGGTCTTATGACCTCTTGTTCTCCCCCACTTTGCCTATGGGGGTGTGTCAAACTTATATGCTGTATGTTGTGTAGGCTGTAGTGGGGTAGCCCATATGGGGTACAACCCAATTAGGGTTTGCTACTTGTACTCCTGCATGCTGCTAGTTCACTTATTCTCGTTCATTATTCTGACACGGTGGCTCGTAGGCACGTGGCGACGTCACGATGACTCGCCACCAGTCCATGGCGGGGCCCCTCAGCAGCGAGACGGCATATCGGATCTTCGCTGCGTCCGACTCGACGTAGTTCGCGTCGAAAAAGACGTTCATCGTGAAGACCCACGATTGAACCGTCGGACCTCCACGCTGGCTCGGGTCGAAACAGGGCGGGCGCTGCGGCTTGAGTGGCATTGGTGCCATGATGGCGTGGTCGCCACTTGTCGCTGCAAACTCTACGTGTCGACGGGCTTCGCGAGGCTCCCGCGGGCTTGGCGCGGTCCTGTTCTTCTCCATGCCAGGCATCGATTGAGCGGCGCCATCACTGGCTGCGCCTGAGCGCTGTCCCACGCTGTCGTTTTGTGTCGGTGTGCCTGATGAGATGACGATCGGCTCCTCCGATTGTGCAGGTGCATTTGCAGGTGCGTGTGGTGGCGTTGGAGCATTCACCGTGGATTGCTGACGATCGGAGTCGCGTTCCGCCGTGAGTGTCACAATTTCGAGCGCCGAATCTTCGATTTGGCGCACGAGACGGTCGAGTTGCTCCTGCGTCAGTGTCGCGAGAGTGAATTCGGTCATGGCGGGGGTGTCGGGCAAGCTCAGTGAGAGCCTCTGTCGTGGCCGTGCGTGCTTACGAGAGAGCAATTCGAGCGGCGGTGCTTGTTCGCTGAGAGACGTCTACCCCCCCAAAAATTGAGATAGTGGGGAAGCGAAGGTGTGGGTGCGATCCGAGAAGAGATCGTAGGCTCTGAAGACCAAGTGTTACGAGTGCAATTGAGTGAGCGAGCGAGAATTGCACTATCGAAGCAAGAGTACAATGAGCGAAGGCATGAGCGAAGAATATATAGCGAAACTACAGTGGTAACGGTAATATGTGGAAAATGGGGTGCACGACGGGCCTAGCGCCGAGGTTGGGAAATGTCGAGGCGGAGGTCCGGAGCGCGGGTTACCAATTGAACCGTGAGGTTGGGTCGCGTCGTGAACAGTGGCGGGAACAGTGTCGAGGCGAGTGTCGCGGGTGGTAACGGATTACTGTTGGGTGCTGTTGGCGGGAACAGTGGCGTACGCGCTGAGTAGGGACGCGAAGTAAGGAAGCGGAGTTTTCGTTACACACAGTAAGGAATCCGGGAAAAATACCTTACATAAATGCCCCTTACATAATAATACCTTACATAAATCCGGGAAAAATACCTTACATTTATCTCTTTTGTTGGCTGTGTGAAGGCTCGGGAATGTCAACTACAGTACCAGCCACGGCCAGGAACCTTGTTCACTCACTGCCGTTCGTGTCTGTTCCTCATGTTCTGTTACTGTAGGACCGTTTCTTCCTCGCTAACCTGTTACTGTTATGGTTACTGCCAGTCTCTGTTTTCCGAACATCTGATGTTTGGACAGTTTCCCCAACATGGGATGTTTGGACAGTGATTCTTCACCCCACCGCTTGACAGCACACTCGTGTTTCATCATTGCACTCCCAGAATCTTGTACACTGTATTATTGTGTTGGTTCACTCTATCCGCACCACACCTTTCACGCTCTATAGTCTACTATTCTATTATGCTCCTGACTTCCCTTCCCACTGTCCGTCGTTTCCATCTCGAGTCAGGTTAGTACGAGACCAGAACTCAGGAGGAGACGATCGTTCCGATTTTCTGATTGCATATCTTCGTATTGTGGCGGGAGTGTCGTTGACTATTTTTTGAAATAAAACGGTTGAAAACGATGTTGTGCGTGGCGGTTTGTTCATTCTCCGTTTTGAACCGCCTCAAAAGTGCTCTAGAAAATTCGACCCCAGAATGACCTGTAATGGAGTGTGTGAATCGCCCTAGCATAGGGTTCACACACTCGGAGAAATGTCAGACATTTCTTCCATTTCTACTAATAGTACAGCCTTACACATCACGGAACTTGAAGGTCCAATACAGCCGAGAAGGTCAATCTTTGACTGCTTAGTATTCGACTATCACCCGCGCATTTCACATACCGCGTTCGTGTCCGTGTCGCCAACACTCAAACCCTGACTCTGTAGTTAGATAAGTGATTTAAAGCAGAAACGATCACAATAGCAAAAACTGAGAAATCTTCCGAAGGTGCTGTGCGCCGCCACCGGCGCCGGCGGCGGCGGATTCAGCAGAGCCATGCGCGCAGCTGCTGGCGGCGCTGCCGCTGCCGCTGCTGCTGCCGCTTCTCGACCTGCCGCTGGTTGGATGAAATTTGAGCCTCAGTCGTCAAGCAACGGGAACATTGGGGACGAGAAACGTGGCGGTCACGCCGCGGCGTTACAGCAGCAGCAGCAGCCGCAGCAGCAGCACCAGCAGTGTGGCAGCAGGTCGCATTGGAAACAGGATGATGCTCACCAGCAGCCTGCTGAGACAGCGACTCAGAACAGCCTCCCCATTTGCTGGATGGAGCAGCAGCAACAGCACGAACAGCAGGAACAGCAGCAGCAGCAGCAGCACGCCGCATCTGAGCTGCGCCGGCATCAGCACCATGACGTCGATGGATTCAAATGGAAAAAAACGTCGCACAAGCGGATAGCGGGTCAGCCTGTGAAGAGGTAAGCACAATCGAACACCAGAGATTTCAAATTGAACGTCGCACGGAGATTAGCAAGACTGACAGGAGAGATTTCTGAATGCAGGCACAAGAGAGATTATTCTTTGCACTGCACTGCAGGCACGACAGATATCTATGCGAGTGCGGGGACTCTCTGCGACCGGGACCTCAATGCACTTGTCCTTGACTGGCGGCGTGTCAGTTCTTCTGAGGGTGTATGCCGTTAGTATCGCTGCGAGCAATGCAGGTGGACGCTCCACTGTGCTGCTCTGCTCTGCTCTGCGTTGCTCTGCTTGGCAGCACGGCTCGTCTTGGCTCTGCTCTGCTCTGCTCGGCTCAGCTCTTCTGTGCTCTGCTCTGCTCGGCTCTGCTCTGCTATGCTCTGCTCTGCTGTGCTCTGCTCTGCTCCTCTCGGCTCGGCTCGGCTCGGCTCGGCTCGGCTCGGCTTGGTTTTGCTCTTATCGCTCTGCTCTACTCTGCTTGGCACTGTTCATCACTGGTCTCCGCTGGTCCGCCCTTCTCGGCGCTGGTCGGGCCTGATCGGTTCGGTTCACCTCTGTTCCGCAATGGACGGCATTGGTCGGCGGTTCGATTCGGCTCCGGGCAGCACTGATCAGCACTGGTCAGACTCGTCAGCATTCTTCACCCTGGTTGCCTCTTATCAGCTCCGTCCGGCTCCGGTCGGCTCCGGTCGGCTCCAGTCGGCTCCGGTCGTCTCTGGTTCTCCCCTATCTGCGGAGGCGGCATGCTTTCGTTTATTTCCTTATGAATCAGTCTGCAGGCTATACGTTCTCGTTCAGTTGTCTCCCGCTGTGTTGTCGCCCCTTTTCCCCCTTCCTTCATGCAGGCTCTACTTCGTTTGCTCGTCAAAGGATGCCACGGGCTGCCCGGCAAAAAAAGTTGAGGATCGAGTGGCCGGCGAGGCTCGTCACCCACGCCGATCCAGGCTGAAAGGCGCCGTCTCAAAAGCCACAGCCGTTCCAAAAGCTGCAGCCACTGCAAAAGCTCCCGCTAAAGCCAGCGCTACAGCTGCTCGCAATTCTGCAGCTACACCCAATCTGGCTGCTGCAAGCAGAGAGGCTGCAGCAGCACTGGCAGAAGAAGGCGACACAGGGTTGGGCAAGACGGAGATGCGTGTGGTGGTGCGGGTGGCATATTTTGTCTCACACAACCACCCGCCGCCCGATCCTGTACCTCCCAAGGCGTTTGCCGCAAGGCTTCCTGCTTCCAGCGGCCTTTCCACTCAAGCAGGCCCCTCTTCTGCTACAGCCTTGGCCTCTGCTACAGCCTTGGCCTCTGCTACAGCCTTGGCCTCTGCTAAAGCCTTGGCCTCTGCTACAGCCTTGGCCTCTGCTACAGCCTTGGCCTCTGCTACAGCCTTGGCCTCTGCTACAGCCTTGGCCTCTGCTACAGCCTTGGCCTCTGCTACAGCCTTCGTCTCTACTACAGCCTATGCCCCTGCTACAGCCTTTTCTTCTGCCGCAGCCTTTGCCTCTCCCACAGCCTTCTCCTCTGTTACAGCCTGCCCCTCTGCTTCAGCCTGCACTCGCAATACAAGCACCCTCCCTGCAACGACTGGTCTGTCAGGAACCGCCAACGCAGCAGCAGAGCAGACAGCCCTCAGAGCAACCCAAACTCCATCGCCACCCTCTTTCTCTGCTACACCCTTCTCGCCAGCTACAGCCTGGACTCCCATTACAAGGCCCCTCCTTGCAACAACCGGCCTGTCAGGTACCCCCAGCGCAACAGCAGAGCAGACAGCCATCAGCGCAACCCAAACTCCATCGCTACCCTTCCTCTCTGCACACCCCCCTCCAACCCATTATCCTTTCTCTCATTCTCCCTCGGCACGTGTTCAAGCCATCCCTGCGTGTTTTGATTCGGCCCAAGCTGCTCTATGCTTCCCGTTCACCCCCCCACGGGGACCTTCAAGCCAGGTGGTGCAATCGCGTGAAGCTCCCGCTGCTGCATCAAATGCTCTTGTCCCTGGGCCTCCAATGGGGCCTCTTGCCCCCCATGCTACAGGGCCTCCTGCTCCTGCTACAGCTCCCGCTCCTACAATAGTCTCTCGCGCCCCTGCTGCTACAGTGTCTTCAGCTCCTGCTACAGTGTCCTCAGCTCCCGCTACAGTGTCTTCAGATCCTGCTACAGTGTCTTCAGCTCCTGTTCCTGCTACAGTTTCCGCTCCTGCTGTAGCCTCTCTTGCTTCTGCCAAAGCGCATCCTCCTCCTGCTGCAGCCTCTCCTACTCATGCTGCAGCTGTCTACCATACCCTCCATGCTCCTCTCTATGATTCTCCTCTCATGTCATGCTCACCCACCGGCTTTCAAGCCTCCTTCCCCTCGCTCCATCACCCCCCTCCTCTCCCTCCTCCCTTCACCCGTTTCTCCACCACTCACCCGCCCTTTCTTCCTCCTCTCCCTCCTGTGCATTCGTCAGGCATCACCAACAGCAACAGCAACAGTAGTTACTTTGCCTCCATGGCTCATATGCGAGCACGTGCAGCAGCACCATCAGCACCACCAGCAGCAGCAGCACCACCAGCAACAGCAGCAGCAGCAAAAGGAAACGCCTCTGATGACAGGACAAGGTCAGATGTGCTGGAAGCACAGCAGCAGCAGCAGCAGCAGCAGCAGCAGCAGCAGCAGCAGCAGCAGCAGCAGCAGCAGCAGCAGCAGCAGCAGCAGCAGCAGCAGCAGCAGCAGCAGCAGCAGCAGCAGCAGCAGCAGCAGCAGCAGCAGCAGCAGCAGCAGCATCATCAGCAGCAGCAGCAGCAGCAGCAGCAGCAGCAGCAGCAGCAGCAGCAGCAGCAGCAGCAGCAGCAGCAGCAGCAGCAGCAGCAGCAGCAGCAGCAGCAGCAGCAGCAGCAGCAGCAGCAGCAGCAGCAGCAGCAGCAGCAGCAACAACAACAACACCAGCAGCAACACCAACAGCAGCAGCAACAGCAGCAACACCAACAGCAGCAACACCAGGAACACCAACAGCAGCAGCGACAGCAGGAACACCAACAGCAGCAGCAACAGCAGGAACACCAACAGCAACAGCCGCAGCAACAGCACCAGCAACAACAGCAGCAGCACCAACAGCACCACTACCATCAACTGCCGCAGCATCAACAGCACAACCACCATCAACAGCACCAGCTAAAGCAGCAGCACCAACAGCAAAACCAACAGCAGTACTTCCAGCAGCAGTTACAGCAGCAGGCCTCCACATCTCTATTTTGTACCGAGCAGCTGCCACCACAGATGAGCGCAGGTGTAAGCATTCACACTGCGGACATTTCAACCTTTTTTACTGATGTGACTCCTACTCTAGACATCACAACTCAGTTTACTGGTATGACTCCTACTCCTGACATTACAGCTCATTTTACTGATGTGACTCCTCCTCATTTTACTGATGTGACTCCTACTGCTGGTGCTACAACTCATTTTACTGATTTGACTCCTATTACTGATAAGACAACTCAATATACTGATATGACTCCTCTCACTCCAGAAGTTGCAGACGTAACTGTAACCCCTCTCATTCCTGACATTACAACTTATTCTGCTAAGGCAACAGTTTTTACCGCGGACCATGGCTGCATCATTGGCAGCCGAGAGTATACAGTAGGGCTCAACACAGAACAGTGTGCTCTGGTGTCTGTAGCCTCTGTTAGCGTGCTTGACAGCATTAGCAATGGCTGCAACACTGGCACCCGAGACTATACAGAAGGACTCAACACAGAACAGTGTTTTCTGTTTTCTGTACCCCCTATTAGCAGGATCGACAACAGCAGCAGCGCTTGCATTAACAGTAGCAGTGCTTGCCCTTACTTCGACATCAATTTACTGTAGCTGCACTAGCAACGACCGCCCTGGCTTGTGCAACCAGTGCAGCGGCAACAACTGCATCATAACAACAGCAGCAGGATTGATCAGACGGGACATGTGGCCACTATTGGCCCGCACAACAGCAGCATCTTGAGCATCAGCAGCAGCAGTAGCTCTGACAGTGCGAGAACCATGGTGAGCAGAAATAGCTGTGTCATGGAGCAGTCTAATCCTAATCCCTTTGCCAGTTTATGCTTGGATGCCTTGCATCTAGTCCGAGGTGACATCAGCATGGTGCCAGATGACTTCAGCAGATTTCCAGATGACATCTGCAGAGCTCCAGACGAAGGACGATGAGACGGATTCAGTAGTGTGATTGCAAGTGCTAGGCTTTGCTATGAGAAGCTTTGTGATAAGTTGACTTGGCTAATCTTACAGTAATTCACATTACTTGCAATACGGTGATTGAAGGTATCTCAATGGCTGTTGATAATTCACTCGCACTCGTCCTAAATAAATTTCCTCATTTGGTAGCCTCTCCGCTCGCTAGCAATTCTGTCTGCATTGATGGCTCCTGCACAGCATAACCCCCAACATTGGCCACACTCACCACCACCACATGCGTGTGTGACTCTGCTGCTTCTTGAGTCGTCGAATCACATACTTGTATGTGAACAATTCTTTCTGCACTGATGGCGCCTGCTGCATACCCCCGAACATTGGCCACACTGACCACCACATACCGATAGCACTGTGCGTAACTGTGCTGCTCCTCAGTGTCACATCTCCTGGTATGACCACTGGCCAGTGCTGCACTCATATGATTGGTTACTGGTACTTGAGACTTGGGAGTTTACCATACTCGCAAGGCAACCCCACACTATCTACATACACTTGCTCAAATAAACATGGGGTTGCTTGCCACTCTAGGGCTAGTATCGTGGGATCTTATGCGATCAGATACCGGCAGAAAATAAAAGGTATTTGGAAACTCATGCAATCTGATACCTACCGGCAGAAAAGAAAAGGTATTTGGAAACTCTACCAAGGAATTTCCTGCCCGTCCCATGCAAAAAAATTGCCATTATCGGCTCCAGTGACTCTGTCTATAATCCCCAGCAGCTTCTGGGCGGCAAACTCGCGCGTGAAGAGCTTTCCGGGCGGCACAGCCCTCTGGAAGGGCTTGGACATATCTGTGTCTACTGTTCCTGGGTGGAGGAGGATGGCAGAAACTGGCTGCTTCTTTGCTGCCAACTCGATAGACATAGTGCGGACCACTGGGAAACCGGGGGAAGGGAAAGAGGGGAGGTTGTGGGAGAGGGGTCGAGGAAAAGCGAGAGAGTACAAAGGAGAAACACCAAAACTGGCTGCTTCTTTGCTGCCAACTCGATAGACATAGTGCGGACCACTGGGAAACCGGGGGAAGGGAAAGAGGGGAGGTTGTGGGAGAGGGGTCAAGGAAAAGCGAGAGAGTACAAAGGAGAAACACCAAAACTGGCTGCTTCTTTGCTGCCAACTCGATAGGCATAGTGCGGACCACTGGGAGGGAGGAGGGAGGGGCAGGGGAGGACTTAAGAAAAAGTGAGAGAGTATGAAGGAGAAACCCCAAAGGTCGATGGGCATTGTGTGGACCCCTGGGGGGTTGGAGAAGGAGAGGTGGGAGAGGAGGAGTGAGCGAGATGGTTGAGAGGTGTAAGGAACGGGGGCGTGTGTGGGGATGCGAAGGGATGCTTATGTGTGCAGAGGGGTGGGGTGAGATGGGCCATGGCTGTACTAGGAGGAGGATGTGCGAGGGTTGGAGAGAAAAGGGGAGAGCAAGGTCGGTAGTGCCTGAGAAAGCAAAGTATGATCAAACAACACCGATGCTCCATGCCTGCCCTTGATGCGTGGTGAGAGTGCCCCCACCACTCTGCCGTTGCATCATGAGTTGACTCAGAACACACCGGGACACTCACACTTACTCAGTGCAGACTTCAATGCGCGGTACGAGTGCCAAACCCCTAGTCAGTTATTGCCCATCGAGGACACGTGCCGCTGCCACCTCCCTTCCTGCCTCCCAGTCGACTGAGAAGAACACACCTGGACAAATGTGCAGCAACTTACACCTTTTCAGGGCAGCCTGTGAGGCGCGGTGCAAGTGACGAGTTTTGAGGCGCCTCAAAAGGCAGCCTGTGAGGCGCGGTGCAAGTGACGAGTTTTGAGGCGCCTCAAAAGGCAGCCTGTGAGGCGCGGTGCAAGTGACGAGTTTTGAGGCGCCTCAAAAGGCAGCCTGTGAGGCGCGGTGCAAGTGACGAGTTTTGAGGCGCCTCAAAAGGCAGCCTGTGAGGCGCGGTGCAAGTGCCAGTGGCCAGCATGTTGTGTCGCCCATCGAGGCCATCGAGGAGACCAGCACACTCGTACTAACTCGCTGCCACGGCCACCTCTTTCGTTTTGAGGCGCCTCAAAACTAGACGCCTATCGAGCCTATCGGGGAGACCAGCACACTCGTACTAACTCGCTGCCACGGCCACCTCGTTCCCAGCTGCCGTACCTCAAGTTATCTCGGAATAGACACCCAGAGATCTCACGCTGGTTCAGTGCCGTCTTTGATGCCACTACTCCCCCGTATCGCCAATCGAGGAAACCCGCGCACTGATGCTCGCTGCCACTGCCTGCCACGTGCCTGCCTGCCAGTGGTGTGCCATGAGTCGACCCATACCGCGCCCAGACAACTCACGCTGGTTCAGTGCAGTCTTTGACGCGCGGTACGAGTGCCAACCCCCCAGCCTGTTGTCACCTATCGAGGACATGCGTGCGCTCATGCTCGATGCCACTGCCAACCCCACACCTGGACAACTCACGCTGGTTGAGAGCAGTCTTTGAAGCGCGGTAGGAATGCCACCCACCCAGCCGGTTATCGCCTATCGAGGACACCCGTGCGCTCATGCTCGCTGCCACTGCCACCTCCCTCCCTGCCGCTGCGCCTCCTCCCACTGCCAGCAATGGCGCCATGTTCTGCGCCGTTGCACAGTAGGGACAGAGTGAAGAGGGGTTATGATGAGGTGACTAAACAAGCAACTGCGCCATCTTCTGTGCAATCAGCTACATGAAAATCACTTTCGAGAATTCTCAAGAGTGATTCTCATACAGCACAGTAGGGGCAGAGTGAAAAAGGGATATGAGGCGCCTAGACAAGCAACGGCGCCATCTTCTGTGCAATCAGCAGCGCAAGGGGAGAATGAAAAGGGGATATGAGGCGCCTAGACAAGCAACTGTGCCATCGTCTGTGCAATCAGCACAGCAGGGAGACAGTGGAGAGAATGGGGAGAAAGGGGAGAAGGTTCGGGGAAGATGTGCCATGGACGGAAGCTGAAGTGACAACAAAGGCCAATGACAGTGGTAAGAGAACAAAATTGGGGGACAGAAAGGGGCAGGAAACACCGGATAGACGAACGTGCTACCTGTACGGTGTACCCCTATCTCCCGTACCAAGCCGACTTTTGAGTCAACTCAATAATGACTTTGAGCCGACTCATAAGAAAGGGACCGGAAACACCGGGGAGAAGAAGGCGCTGCATGTACGGTGTACCCCTATCTCCCGTACCATGTAATCCTCTCACGATTCATCTCCCACTCTCTCCTTAGATCGTCCCGTTCCCCTTTCCCTTGAGACACACACTTGACTTTATTACAACCAACCATGCTGTACCGACCAGAGCTGACTTTCTGGGACTTGGCCGCCCAACCATTCAGTAAAGTGCCCACACCACATGGCTTGAGACGACTTTTGAGTCGACTCAAAAGTCATTTAGTGAAGTGCCCAAACCACAAGGCGTAGAGTATTTCAAGACCACCCCATAAGCACCTTCACGATCATGCCTGCCCGCTTCGTTGTAAGAACATTCCTCGCAAAAATACTCCTCCGTACAGACAATTTGTTGTATGTCGATTAAACTCTCATGGCATGCAAACTGGGGAGTAGCTTGTTCAAGACTTTGGTACTCTTACGGCTTTTGAATTTGAATTGCAGGCACAGGGCCTACCTATCCTATGTTATTCACAATGCATGCGCACCATAATTACCAGTGCTCGCCCCGTCTCTAAATGCTCTCACACACACCTTGATGACCAGCGCCGGTCCCATTGCGTTGACCTGGAAGCTGGTGAGCAAGGCCTGTGGCGTGAGTGCTTTCATAGATGTCTCTGCAGGCACAGGGAAGCGGAGAGGGTGGGCGGATTGGGGACGCGGGTGCATAGGGGAAGGCTTGAAAGCGTGCATGGCTTTCAACCAAGAGCACAGTGGGACGCTTGGGCAGAGCTGGTGGCACGATAGCTCGAAGAGAGGGACGCAGAGCGAGTGGGAAGAATTAGAGAATGGGAAGAATCAGCGAGTAGGAAGAAATGTAAAGTGAGAAGTTGCGGAAAATGACAATCAGGGTGAAGAGAGGGAACAGCTTGTCAGCACTCGCACCACACACAGCCCACTCGCACCACACACAGCCCACTCGCACCACACACAGCTCCCAGTAGCACCATACACAGCCCATGCATGCAGAAGCGCATTGCAGCAAGCAACACAACACAGCACGTGCAGTGCAATGCGAGATGTGCCTCACCGCGCACCTGGTTTCATGGCGCCCGGCATGTGGAGAAGACCAGACGCGTTGATGAGGAGGTCGAGGTGCCCCCACGTGGCTGACACATGCCGTGCTGCTTCCTGTTGTGACGTCCCTGCGCCATCCCATGAAAACACGCATCAAGCGTGCACGCCATCCCATGCATGCCATCAAGCGTGCACGCCATCCCATGCATGCCATCAAGCGTGCACGCCATCCCATGCATGCCATCAAGCGTGCACGCCATCCCATGCATGCCATCAAGCGTGCACGCCATCCCATGCATGCCATCAAGCGTGCACGCCATCCCATGCATGCCATCAAGCGTGCACGCCATCCCATGCATGCCATCAAGCGTGCACGCCATCCCATGCATGCCATCAAGCGTGCACGCCATCCCATGCATGACATCAAGCGTGCACGCCATCCCATGCATGACATCAAGCGTGCACGCCATCCCATGCAAGCGTGCATGCCATCATGGCATTTACGAGACCTGAACACCATACACCATGCACCGTGCCATGTACCCGCCATGCCAATCATATACATTGGAATTCCAAATCTGGATTAGACCACGATACAATGCCGGTGTAAGTGTAGTGTAGCCCGAGAGGCACAACTCTTGCACAGCGTCTATCCCCCCAAAAGACGCCTCGTCTCTCACCCTTCCCTAGAGACACCGTGTCTTTCACCCACCCCAACACACCCCTCGCCTCTCACCCACCCCAACACACGCCGCGTCTCTAACACACCCCAACACACACCGCGTCTCTAACACAGCCCAACACACACCGCGTCTCTAACACACGCCGCGTCTCTAACACACCCCAACACACACCGCGTCTCTAACACACCCCAACACACGCCGCGTCTCTAACACACCCCAACACACACCGCGTCTCTAACACACCCCAACACACACCGCGTCTCTAACACACCCCAACACACACCGCGTCTCTAACACACCCCAACACACACCGCGTCTCTAACACAGCCCAACACACACCGCGTCTCTAACACACCCCAATATACGCCTCACCTCTCACCCACCTCGATCCACGCCTCGTCTCTCACCCACCTCGATCCACGCCTCGTCTCTCACGCACCTCGATGGTTGCCTCGTCTCTCACGCACCTCGATGGTTGCCTTGTCTCTCACGCACCTCGATGGTTGCCTCGTCTCTCACGCACCTCGATGGTTGCCTCATCGGTCACGTCCAGGGGGAGAACAGTCAGCCGATCCCCGCTTCTACTCTGGAGCTCCTGTAGCGCCGCTGCTGCTGCAGGATTGCGACACGTGGCAATGACGTGGCTGTCAGGGTTCCTCCGGAGCAGCTGCCGAACCTGCCAACCAACGGTCGAATGTGCGATGAATGAATGAGCCAATGGGCCACCATCGTGCATGTCAGAGGAGATTCCAGTGCTTTGACTTCACGGTCCCTCAGGGAATCTCTCCCAGCCTGGCAATCCCAGGGAAAGGCGAACTCTCTCAGCTGTTTGACTGGTATGACCCTTAAGCTGTCAAATGTTCCAATACTGATTATGCAAGGAATATACCAAAAAAATACACGTTCTTCACAATTTTGGGTGGGGGTGTGGAAGGGAAATAGGGGGGGGGGGGGGGGGGGGGGGGGGAGGGGGGGGGAGGGAGGGGGGAGGAGAGAGGGGAGGGAGAGAAGGGGGAAAGAGGAAGGGGTGAGATGGGAAGGAGGAGAAGAAAGTGACATTGTACCACAAAAAAGGTAGAAAATAAAAGAGCAGCAGTGCAAATCCAGCAGAAAGATAATCAGCAGACCGGAAACCAGCAGACAGGAATGCAGAAGAAAACGAGGCAGAGAGGGATCAGAGACACGGACCAGCTCCAGCCCAATGCCTCGCGACGCCCCTTGCACGAGCGACACCTCCCTCGCCGTCGCACTGCCGTCGCGAAGCGTCGCAAGCGATCGACTTCGAGCATCACGCGGCCTAGCTAGTGTCGTCGCATCGACTGCGCTCCAAGAAACGTAGTCTCCTGAAGCGGCGGACCGCGAGAAAATGGAAGATAACGACGAGATAGTACCAACGCCGGCGGCTATTTCGGGAAATAATTGCACGTGAGCGACTCGGCCAAAGGAGACGGTGGACGCCGATGAACCAACTTGAAGGCGCCGATTAACGGAGATCGCAGTGGAAACACGAGATGCCGCGAATGATACGATTCTACGGGCCATGGCTGGCAGTGCTGCAAGCACAGTTCTTTAGGTTCCCGTACGCGCGCCGGTAGCTTGGAGCTGCAAAACGATCGCAATTAAACTCGCCTCATCGCAAGATTCTCTGCATCAGTAGGCCCGCGTTCCGGCGCCCTCTTTCCAGTGAGCGAGTCATTTTATGGAGTGCTCAGCTCGAGATAACGAACACGTGGTCGTGCCAGGGGCCATGGATTGTGCTGTCAAGATGACTCCACGTTTCATGCTCATTATCCGCGGTATAATGCTACGCAGAAAGGCCCCACGATTATTGATATATCTGTACATTAGGTTTAAAGTGTTTTGTGCTCTACTGGTGTAATTCACCAATTTCTCACAATTCGGTGGCGGTTGGTGGTGTTTCAAGCCAGTTCCTCTGTGCGCGTCAACGCTGACGCCACCAACGCTGGCTATGAGGTCAGGAAGAAGCGCCACCGCAAGAGGAAACCCTGAAGGTCCCTGAGAGTCAGCCCCGTGAGTGTATCTGTGTGGTCGGCCGACCCTCGCCACGTCGGACAAGCAATCACTCTAGAAGATTTCCACACCACACAGAACCACAGCTTATCGCGTCGCCATATCGCAGCCCACCAGCCTCGGAAATTCCCGCCAGAGGTTTTTCCGCCCTCGATATTTTCCCAATTCACCATCTCGAACCCAACCATCCCATGCCTCATGAAACTGTTTCTGTACACCGTCCAATCCCTTTAGATTCCATATCAACCTAGTGGAAATCAATGCCTGACAACCAAATACGGGCCTCGGCACAACACAACACCTTCTGTCCAGCAGAACAGAACACATCCCAGAAGCAGACCCACCCACCTCGTAGTCTCGAAATTGCCGCAAACTGTTTTGGGTCTGCTGTATCCATGCCAAGTACATAATCCACCATTTCATCACACATACCTTTTTCCCACATACTGTAATCCTTCCTGCTCTAGCGCTCGTTCCCACCATTTCAGGCCTTGTATTGCTTGCACACACAGCTTGCGTCAAACTCGCCTTCCACCGTGTTATTTCGTTTAGTTTTTGGTAGTTATCGTTGTAGTGGCTGTCTCTAGCCTTAGTTTCCAGGAGCTGCATCCCAATGGCGCCAACAACAGAGTACGTCCTCCTCCATGTTGTTTCTGTTCGCCTGTGAAGACGCTGCCTGGCACGCCTTAGCGTAACCCGCTTGAACAATAGTGAATAGTTACGGATGCATATTCATATGACACGTCGTTAGGCTGAATGTAGTTGAAATCGTTGTTCCGCTTTTGCGTTGATTCAGTTCAGAAACATGAATGGTGTCATCTCGCCACTGTTACGGATTTCTCTGACCAGCTTTCATGTTTGACTTCCATATTACTGCAGGAATGGTGTCATCTCGCCACTGTTCACACTAGAAGAAGACTCTGAAGCGACTGTGGTTACTCAGTCGGAACCAACCCGCGAATTTTCCGCGCCTATCACAACTTGTTTCTTCGGTAAGCCGTAGCCGTTCAGCATCTGCGTAGGGATACTTACTAAAAAACCTGCTTCTCGATGAAGCATCGCATTCTTGTAGTAATTCCCGTACCACCCAACCATTGTGGCCCCATCGTCGGGCAACAACTCCTTCAAGGGGTTCGTTCATGTTACAAGTGTTTGCGATTGTGCATTGCCAACGTGTGAATCGACGTGTTTTCAATCTGTGCTGCAGATTTGGATGACACTCTGTATCACAGTAGCGCTGGTCTCGGCCCAGCGTGTGTGAAGAACATCGAAGGTATGATTATTGACGAGATCGCTCCCAGCTTACGAATTTGTCATTTTGCCCGATTTACCAAATCCACATCCTGCAAGTATCCGAAACAGATATCCTCTTGCGCATTGTTTTGGGTCCTGGCTCATCTTCGAAAGCTAGTGAAGCCATTTGGTTATCACATTGATTCGCCAGCATTCCCTCTCCGCCCCCTCTCTCTATTCCGCCTTTCTTCCCGTCTCAGATTACATGGTTCAACGCCTGGGTTTCGCAGCAGACACCGCAGGCGAGGAGGCCATCAGGCTGTACAAGGAGCATGGCACCACCATGGCTGGTCTTCGGGTAAGTCCCAACTTTGATAGGTCGCAGGATCGATGGGCGTAAGATCTGTCGCCAGCAAGTATTAGTCCAAAGTCTGGCACATGCGCTTAGGCACACAGCTGTTAGTGGGGGCTGCTCAGAGGTAGGCTGTGTCAGCAGTGTGGCAAGCAGCAAGTTACGTATTCTTGAAGTAATGCTTCAGTAACAAGATGGAGGGATATTGTTGTGCCAAATATTTATACGTTGAGGGAACATAGACATATGATGTGACGCTGTCACCATGGTGTTACAGGCGATTGCACGTTTAGATGGTGCGATACCCTTGCAATAGGTGACTCCAGCTGATTTTGACCACTAATCAATAAGCACTGATGGTCTGAATCAGTATGCTATCCACGTGGGCTGCAATGGACTGTGCCGAGCTGACATTCTCGTTTGAAATTTGTGTTGCAGGCAGAAGGTTACGCCTTCGACTTTGATGACTGGCACGCGTGAGTTCAACCTCCTTTGCTTCTAGAAGCAGTAGTACCACAAGTTACTGCAGGTCACATTCGTTCAAGATGCCATATCCATCCAGGAGCCTTTTGGTTCCCTTTTCTTCCATCTGCAATTAGGAGCTCGTGTTTGCGCTCTGTTTCGTGTCTAAACTCATTCCACCTCCCATTCTCATGCGGTCCTTATGCGTTTGCGACTGTGAGTTTGCACCATCGCCTTCCTCATTCGCGTTTCTCATCTCCCCCCCCGTCCTCATCCCCCCTCACGTCCTCATCGCCCCGCCTTCCTCATCTCCCCGTCTTCCTCGTCACCCCGCCTTCCTCATCCCTGCAGGTTCGTCCACGGCCGACTACCATACCACCTGCTGAAGCCAGACCCCGCCTTGAGGCACCTGCTTGATTCGCTTCCTCAACGCAAATTTGTATGTCCCTCGGTTTAGCAGCATCCGATCAGACAAAGCATGCGTAGTTCACAGTGGGCTGGCAGGAGCAATGGCATGGACTCCGGTCTCTGATTGCCCTCTTACATCAGTGAATGCAGTGACTGCACGCCACTCACCATGCCTATCTGTATTGGTATCCTGAATAAGCAACTTGCACTTGCTCACCACATGCCACTGCTCACCAAATGCCGCTGCTCACCAAATGCCGCTGCTCACCACGTGCCGCTGCTCACCACGTGCCACTGCTCACCAAATGCCGCTGCTCACCACATGCCGCTGCTCACCACGTGCCGCTGCTCACCACATGCCGCTGCTCACCACGTGCCGCTGCTCACCACGTGCCGCTTCTCACCACATGCCGCTGCTCACCACATGCCGCTGCTCAGTGTGGTGGGCCACCCCAGCCCATTCACTATCACAACCTTTCACCCCTTCTTTTTCCGCAACTCCCGTCCTCCATCCTTCCACCTCCGTCCACCCCTATCCAACCCCACAGGTGTTCACCAACGCCGATCGCGCCCACGCCAGTCGCTGCCTGCACCTGCTGGGCCTGGAAGGGTGCTTTGACGCCGTCATTGCATTCGAGGACGTCATGGCGCACCACCCGTCTCTGCCCTTCTCCCTGCGAAACAACTTCCGCCCTTCATGCACCACCTCTGACATCCCTAACGTTTCTGACGGCTCTGACTGTCTTCTGGACTCCGACCGTGGCCTGCTGCCGTCCTCCCTGCCGCCCATTCCCTCCGCCTCCTCCACCGCCTCCCTCCCGTCAGCTAACCTGTCAGGCGATAGCAGTAATGGCAGCAGTGGCAGCAGCTCTCCAGAGCGATTGCTACCAATCAGTATCCAGGATCAGCAAGAAGGACCAAGTGAGCAGGAGCAGCGCGATTTAGAGCAGCAGGAATCAAAACAGGTGAACTTACCCCAGGTGCCACCTTTCCGCTGCAACAGCCGCCGCTGCGTCAGTGCAGATGCACTGGTGGAGCATGCTGCTGCTGCTCACCCTCTTGCTGCACACGCTCATCGTGACGTCGCCAGGCTAGCAGCAGAAGCAGCATCAGCACCAACACCAGCAGCAGCAGCTGCTGCAGCATCTGCAGTGGCACAGTCGTGGATGAGTCCGGCCGGACCACTCATCTGCTGCAAGCCCCAGGCTGAGGCGTTTCACCGGGCAGTGGTTGGCATTGCACACGCTGACCCGCACTCATCGGTACGTCCCCGCTGCTCCCATCCTCTCTGAGTTCCCGCTCTCTGCACGGCGTGCTGCTTGTGTGAAATCCCTCTTGCACCTTTTCCATGCGGTTGATGCTGACTCGGAACTCATTCGTGAGTATGCTGGTTCTTGTGCCTCGCTAGCTTCGCCGCTGTGACATCTGACCATTGGCAGTGGCAGAATTTACCTTTCTTTTGGTCGCAGCGAAGTAAGCCCAAAAGAAAGGTAGCGATGCCACTACTGTGTGGCACCACCTAACAAGACATGTTGCTTTCCAAACGACCCGTTGCACTCTAAACTGTCCTGACTGATCCCATATGACTATTCCGTGTCTTGTGCTGCAGATATTCTTTGATGACAGCACTCGCAACATCTCAGCGGCCAAGAGATTTGGCATGCATACAGTTCTGGTATGTCCTGCTGGGCTGAACCCTTCTCACAAGCTTGAACCCTTTTTGCTTGTGCATTCTAGTACTACTACTGTACTCACTTGATTTGACAGTTCCAACCTCCCGTTCTCATCTTCGCTCCCCTAATGCTTCCTTGGATGTGACTGGTGCTGTCACCTTACTAAAGAATGTCTCGTCATCCCTGCTTCATGATTCCTTGACGTCTGCCTGCATATGGTTTTCATTTCATGCAGGTAGGAACATCACAATCATCAGCAGGAGCAGACTATGTTATAGCAAACATTCATGAAATGAAGAAGCAAATTCCGGCGTTGTGGAAAACGCCTGAAAGTAATGAGACAGGCATAGTGACGGAAGGTGTTAGAGAGTCCCCATGCATCTGCCATCAAAGCAGAAACCTGGGCCTTGTGTTGGCATAACATGTGACTGCTCAATGCTCACCATTATTCATGACTCATTTGTCCCATGCACAATCAAACGTCTGGTCACTCCAATAAATGAAAGTTGCTCCCCCTCCCCCCACCGGCAAGTGCTGCTTGAGCATCCATACACTCTAGGGTACTGGTAGTGCATCTTGCTCTGCAGATCAACGTGCCATGCGTGTCTGATATTGAAATTCTGCTCACATCCCGGTAAATGATTACTCTGCAATGGAGCAATGCATTACATTCGTAATATGGTAACAGCTCCGCTCTAGTAGTTGAATCAGTTTACCAGCGAGTCAAGAAGCAGTACAATCCAATTTCAGAGCACTATCTCCATAAACTCCTCAAAAGAACTTTGAAATTCACCTAAAATTAAACTGCTCACAACTCGCGATCATCATCTCTCTTGTAAAACTCATCATCTTCATCCAAGTCCTCGTCATCATCATCCTCCTCCCCCTGGGGGTCCGTGTCGTCAATGTCCTCATCATTGAAGTCCTCATCCTCCGGCTCCTCCTCCTCCGGCACATCCACTATGTCCACCAGCTCCGTCTCAAAGATGAGCGTTGCTCCACCTGGAAGCAGGTCAAAGGGAGAGAACAGGGGAAATGAAAGACTAGTGGTTCTCACCCATCACCTTTTTTTTTGGCACATCCACTACGTCCACCAGCTCCGTCTCAAAGATGAGCGTCGCTCCACCTGGCAGGGGGACAGAGGGAGGGGAGGGAAAAAAAGAGATTAATGGCTCCCTCCTGTATCCTCCAGCATGTCCACTATATCCACTGCTCTGTTTCCAACATGAGCATTGCTCCACCTGGCAGGAGAGGTGAGGGAGGAGGGTTGTGGAGGGAAGAAAGGGGGAAAAAAAGGGCCTTCTAATTTGCGTATTGGAGGGAAGGGGGTGGGAGGGAGGGGGGGAAAGAGCGGGATGCAAGCGAGAACGGCCGCAACAGTCAAACGGCTTCAAAATGTTGGGTAATTGCAGTTAACAGTCAAACGGCTTCAAAGTCTTTCTGCACTCCTCGATAATGAAAATGTTTGGTAATTGCAGTTGACAAATGCATTAAACCAGTGAAACAAAAAAAGAAACCAATATAGATCAGCCAGTTTAACCATATAAAGGTCCAAACACAGCTGGACTGACCTGGAATCTTGGGAGGAGAGCCGTTCTCGCCATAGCCCATGTGGGGCGGGATTTTGAGCTTGCGCTTCTCGCCAATGCACATGCCGAGGATGCCAATGTCCCACCCTGTCACGTGTCAGAGGGGCATTCAGGGGGGACGTTCAGAGGGACGTTCAGAGTGATGATGGTGCCACAGAGGCTAATCATGAATCAGGAACGCAACCATACTTCTAGACAAGGGTGCAACGCAAAAAGCGTGACTTGGCTATGCAGCCTTTTTCTGGCATTCGTAAAATAATGAATTGCCTCTTGTAAGTCTGGCAGTTTACAGATTGTTTGACAGGTTTCATCACATCTTTTTCGTATTCACCTTTCATGACATTAGTACCCATGCCGAAGCACCTCACCTTTGAGCACGTTGGCGATTGTTTGACAGCCAGCGATCGCACTTCTGTCTCTCACCTTTGATCACGTTGCCCATGCCAAGGCGGAACTCGAAGGGGTCGTTGCGGTCGTAGCTGGAGTCGAATTTAGTGCCATCGGTGAGCATGCCCTGCACGCAGAACATCAGCGACAGGGTTCAGGACATGTCAGGGTCAGGACAAGTTAGGGTTAGGGCACGCCAGGGTTAGGAAAACATCAGCGTCAAGGTTCAGGGCAGTGTCAGCGTTTGCAGCAATCAACGGAGCAGGAGAGTCAGGCGCGTCTGATCCCATCAAAACGAGTATTGGGCAGTTCTTCCGTATGCATGAAGAGCGGCGATCGAAGGATCACCAGAGCTCAACGAGCACGGTCGATGCTTGGGGCGTATACAAGGCTGCATTGTTTCCTGCTGACCACCCATGTTATTACGACGCGAGCAGTCACGCTCTCACGACAGCCGCGCCTTCTATTTGCTTCGCCGCTTGTTCGTGCACAGCAGCGTCTGATTAGTCCCGTGTAAATCTGAGCCGCGAGTACGAGTTCTCTATACTGGAACGAGGATCGCGAGCGAATCGATCAGACACAACAGGCGGGAATCTGGCTTATCTCGGCGCGGGCTCAAGGTAATCTATTTAAACAAAACGAATAGCCCTTGGATGGCCGCGATTCGCTTCCGTAATCAGCCGTGCTACCAAGCCACGTCAGTTCGACCAATCGTGCTGCAAGAGTCAGCCCGTCTGGATTGGGTAAATTACTTCGTCCTCGACCTCCCTATCAGACCCCTTTATTTGCTGCCGTCCGAAAACAGTAGGTACTGCTCTGCCCATAGGTGTCGTCGATGACATGTTTTCGCTGTAACAATAGGTAACACTCTGCATTACTCGCCGGTAACAACTCACTTCGTGAACTCTCTACCCAATACTTACAACTCACGAAGGGCAGTTCGGTGAAATGTGAAGGAGCCGTGAGAGCTGCATGTGCGATCCGAAATATACGTGGGACCAACAAACTGCTCACCTTGTAATGAACCTTAACAGTATCGAGATTCTTGGCCTTGCGCGGACAATCCTTGGGCTTGAACTGCCATCATCCACCACAGACAACGACGGATCAATGTCAGACCAGGAGAAATATCATATCATGCAAGTTTCCAACGGTGAATGCTTCACGGAATCAAGGACACGCTAGAAAATGCGCAGGAACAGGTGCCGAAACGAGCCTTAAATTCACCTTGACGCCTATCTGAAGCTGAGTCACATCCTTCTCGGTCTTCGCAGCCACTGCACAGAAGAACCCGTGACGATCGTGACCGCAAGAAAAAAAACCGGAGGGAAGAAAGAAAACAAGCAAATAAATTAGCACATATGGCAAAGAAACACTCTCACCGCAAAGCGCGTAGAAAAGGAGCACGACTGCGCCAGATAGAAGGCGAGACGCCATAGCTACTGCGTCCTGGAAGGTTTCTAAGACTGCACAGATCCAATATGAAAAGGAATCCTCGACCACCACCACTGGAAAGATAGAATTCTGCTGTTACTGTCGGCTTCCAGAAAGCAGCTCACATCCATCCTCGAGGGTATCCCAGCTTGTACTAATTCAGTGCGTTATTTGCGTTCTAGTTCGTTGTGTCACGGTGCAAAACAGTGAAAACAAACCGATTGTAACCGTGTGAAACCGTCCTGAGCCACGAAGCATAAATTGTGATGTAACCTCCACCACACCACACCCCTTCGGGGGGGAATGCCAAAATCCGAGCCTGCAAAGGTGATTGGACGTGGCTGGCGCGAACCTGTGACCCTTCGCGAAGCCACCGACAAATGACCAATCTTGACCGCTTATTTGCGCGGGCTTTCGAAACTGACGAGTGGTATGGATGTCAGAGGCTCGGCTGCCAGTGATTGGACAAACGCCGGCTTGTAGAGCCGTGCTATCCTCGCTCTGTGCGAAAATCCATAACAGCTAATCGCTCAGTTCGCGAATGTCGCTGAACCTTCAGCTGACATGAGTCGCCTTGTGTTGAACCACCACGACTTTCTACACCCACCAAATTCGTAAAAACTTAAATCTAGCACAAAACCATTTTCCTAGACACCACGCTACTCCACCAGCAATACTATTTCTCGGGTCATATTGACGTGTCGTGACGTGTCGTGCAGCGCGTTTCGCGTCAATGCATTTTCTCCTAGTCTTCTCACTGCATTTGATTCACCAGAAACCATCAGCAAGCTTAAAGAGAAGCATCGCCACCACCTAAACGCACCAAGAATTAGCTCCAAACAAGTGCAACCTAGCGGGCCTTCACGTTGAATTTAAAAATTTCTTGAAGAGTGGCTTGATACGGATTTGAGCTGTGCGTTGTTTGTTGACCGTTCCTACAAGTGGTGGGTCAATGGGGGACGAGTATCATGAATCCTCACTTTCCGCGGTTGGCGCCGCTGAAGGCGGTGCGGCAAAGGAGAGCTTCGCGCTTACGGTGAAAAAGTAAGGCGTGCTCGGTTGAGACATGTTTTCAAAGTTTCTTGTACGAGAACAGACTGACGAAGAGTAGCCCTAGGACTAATTGGAAGTGTCAGGTACTCATGCAGTTTGTTGACTTGTAATCATACCTCTTCTTTGGTGTAACAGCCGCAGCTTGTTATCTGGTTTTACAGCCGCAACTCTTTTTTTGGTGTTACAACCCCAGCTCCTTCCCTGATGCTACAGCTGCAACGTATCCTCTGGTGTGTCTCCCTTCATCTGTGCGACCTACTGATCTTACAGCAATTTCGAGAGCCTCCATCAGCGAGGATTCGCTCCCAACGACGCTGCGGCTCTGGCTCTGAAGATCGCCATGGGAAAAGGTCAGTGCTACGTGTACATGCGTACTCTCCGCCTCCTTTACGGTTATAGTTTCTCCATGTCCCTTTCTCTCCTTTTCCTCCTGCGCTTCTTTCTCTCCCGACTCGCACGGCTTCTGTCACCCGCCTGTTATCGTTTAGGCGCCTCAAGGGTATAGATTGTGTTTTGGATTTCAAAAGCACCCTCACAGTGTAGGGTCCTGCTGAGTGTTCTTAGAAGCACCCTCAGAAATCTATCACTGGTGCGTTCTCATTTTCCGTATTCGAGCTTTGAGACGTCTTAAAACTGTATTACTGGTGCGTTCTGTTTTTACCTTTTTCGTATTCTTCTCCCTGCTTGGTTCAGTTCATCTAAAATGTCAGTACACAACACACCCAATCAAACCAAGGAGGGAAGCTCGTTTTTTGAAACCATCACTCTAAATCCTCTTTATTTTATATTATACATAACATACACACTCATGCGCGCTCGTTGTGCACCTCATGCTTGGGTTCGGTTGGGTTGGGTTGGGTTTAGTTCGGCTGGGTGGTTTTCATCCCAGCGGAGCTCCTGGCTGCAATCTCCAAAGCGTGTGCCCGCATAATTCTTTGAGACTTGTCATCATAGAGACGTCTCAACAACTGTCGCAAATTATTCCTCCTTCATGCTTGGCTTGGTGGTCACTGGTCCCCACCCCACTCCAGCGGAGCTGCTAGCAGCAATCTCCAAAGCGCGTGCCAGCAGGGCAGCGAAGGCCAGCAGTGCAGCTCAGGACAGCCTCCACGTGGCAGAGCTGATCCCCAAGGTGCTGTCGTCAGCAGACGCTGTGAGCCTGGTGTTCCTAGCCATGCCGGAGGGGCTCTCCAAGGGCAACCTGCTGGGTGAGTGGGGAAATGCGGTAGTTAGGTGCGGTGGATAGATGAAGCGTAGGCGAGTGGTTTGAATGCGGTACGACTGTGTTGGAGAGAAGCTGTGAGCCTGGTGTTCCTAGCCATGCCGGAGGGGCTGTTTAAAGGCAACCTGCTGGGTGAGTGAGGGAATGCGGTATGAGTGTGTGGTGGATGAAGGAGTTTCGGGCATGTCTGGGATGGGAGTTGTGGTTGGGGGTTTGGGAGTGGAGGATGGACATGAGTGAGAGGAAAATATGGGCTGGGCTTTCTCCTTTATTTCTCATCTTTTCCTGATGCCGTATCCTCTCATCCTTCTCCTGGTGTTCCATTATATCCTGGTGTTCCATTATATCCTGGTGTTCCATTATATCCTGGTGCACTTTTCACCTTGTCTTTCAATTATGCAGCCATCTCCTCTTTGTGTCCACCACTTGAGCAGGCATCGACTCGGCGACTGTGAAGCTGTTTTACGACGGAGTGGCAAATCTGGTGAGTGCTTGAAGCTTTGCACATAGCAGCACCGCAGCTCAGGAGTTGTCTGTGCTGCGCCCATTGCAATCGCTCTCTCGTGCTGTCTCTCCCTTTTTTACAACAAATATGTGCGCCCCTCCAAGCCAAAACCTCGCTCCTCAACACCACCACGCTCACACCTCTCACTCACTTATTCACTCACTCGCTCAATCAATCAAACACTCATCTCACTCACTCACCACCAACACTCAGCCACGCCCCCTCGCCCCGCACCACAGGGCGACGAGGTGGCTGGCAGCAGCAGTGGTGCGAGCGAGCGAGTGGCCGGCTCTGCTCACAGAGCTCGCCCAAGCCGTGCCCCCCGTGCCTTCCTCCACTCTCCACTTTCTCCGATCTCTCAAGCACTCACTCACCCTCTCACCCACGCCCCTCCCTCTCAAACCTCTTTTCTTCGCCCTGCATCACAGGGCGATGAGGTGGCAGCAGCAGTGGTGAGAGCCAGCGACCGGCTGCTCACAGAACTCGTCCAAGCCATGCCGCCCCCCCCCCCTCCTCCACTCTCTCTGCACTCATTTCAGCGCCCACTCAAGTTTCAACCCTCTCCTTTCCCCCCTCACCACAGGGCGATGAGGTGGCAGCAGCAGTGGTAAGAGCCAGCGATCGGCTGCTCACAGAACTCGTCCAAGCCATGCCGCCCCCCCCCTCCTCCACTCTCGCCCACCACCTCCCCACCCCCCCGCGACCCTCCCGCCCGCCCGCCCTTGTCCCCCTGCCTGCACCTGCCACCGCTGCCCCCACTGCCACGGCTGGGAGTGAGAGGGATGATGCCACTACCACCGCTGCTGCCACCACCAACGCCACCAGTGCCATGGACGTTGATACCCAACCTGCACTGCCGTCAACTGCAGCTGCTCCGCCTTCTGAAAGCCTGGCCACTGAAGCCCCCGCGGGTGCAGCAGCTGCCGTGGACACAGGTGCAGGTGCAGGTGCAGGTGCAGCAGCAACAGCGGCGGGGGCAGCGGCAGGAGCAGCAGCAGGGGCGTCGGGCAGTGCGAAGAGGAAGGTGGACTCGCTGGCAGCGGCAGCAGCAGAGGAGGGTGCTGGGCGAGACAAGGATGAGCCGTCGCCAGCTGTCATGCGCTCCCTGCTCTTCCTTCTCGACGTGAGTCACGTCACGCGCCCCGCTCCGCTCCGCTCCGCATCTCTCTCTGCGCCCTGCTTGCTTCTGACAGCGGCACGGCATGTAGTAAGTCGATTTTCGAGTCGACTCAAAATGCGCCCTGCTTGCTTCTGGCAGCGGCACGGCACCCTCTGATGAGTGCGGCACTGCTGCGTCCGATCCGAGGATGCTGCGGCTCGTCAACGCCAAGTCCGTTGAAATCAAATTGCTTACGTGCCGGACGACGGTGCCCTTCAGTCCGGCCTTGCACAAACTTTCCATGCTCGCGTGCTCGCTCGCTGCACTGTGTCCTTCTTGCTGGGTTCGTGAAATCGCAGATACCACTGTCATCCTGCGCACTGTTGCGTTCTGCTGCGTTCCCGTCGCTCCTGTGCCTTTCCGTTCATGCTGCATGCATACGAGTCTTGCTGCTTGCTCTCACGCTCTGTGCCATCCCAGCGCTCTCTTCCTCTCGCACGTCTCCCCAGAGCCCCTTCCTCATGGAGACGGAGAATCATCCGCTCTACCGCCGTCTGTGCAAGCTGCTGCTGGGCTTTTGAGAATTCTCAAAACTTCCTTACCTGTCTCTCCTGTCTCTTCTGTCTCTCCTTCCTCTCCTCCCTCTCCTCCCTCTCCACCCTCTCCTCCCTCTCCACCCTCTCCTGCCTCTCCTCCCTCTCCTGCCTCTCCTCCCTCTCCTGACTCACACATCATCACCCCAGAGCCCTTTCCTGATGGAGCCCGAGAACCATCCACTGTACCGCCGTCTGTGCAAGCTGCTGCTGGACCTGCCGCCACTGCCCCGCCAGCAGCTCATCTGCACCCTCGCCAGGCACGTTACCTGTCCCTTGCATGACATTGCTTGTGCTGTGCTCATGCATCATCACTCTCGTCTCGCCAGGGCGAGTGCTTCCGTCCCTCGCCTTGTCGCATCGCACCTCACGAGGTGACTATTGACTCTGGGGCACCTCAGAAGTCGCCGCAGGGAGTTTATGAGAATTCTCAAAAACTCCCTGCAACCTCAGAAGTCGCCGCCAGTGCAAGTTGCTGCTCGACCTGCCACCGCTGCCCCACCAGCAGCTCATCTGCCTGCCCTCTTGCCAGGCGAGTATTCGTGTACTGTTGCATGGTGCTGCACTGTTGCATTGTCGCGAGCACCAGTTTTGCCACCCCTGCTGCTGCCTCCTTCCACGAGCATCTGCAATGCAGCAGTCTGCAAGGAACTGCATGAGTTCATTCACTCTATCCAAACTCCTCATCCCTTATATCGCCACTGCCCTGCAAGCAGTTACGAGCGCTGGCATCTACAGCAGGTGGTGGAGACGGCACCGCATGTGATCACACATTACTCCCTCCTCCCAACTCAGCACAACCATCATTCCCTTCCTCCTACCCCTGCCTTACCACGAGCAGCTACGAGCGGGCGCACCTACAGCAGGTGGTGGAGACGGCACAGCATGTGATCACCATCCAGCTGTACGAGGCCCACCGCCTGGTTGACACTGTCAAGCTCGCCACACGCGTGCTCGGGATATTCTGTGAGCTCGCCCTCTCTTCTTTTTGAGACGTCTCAAAAGTCGCACAGCATGTGATCACCATCCAGCTGTACGAGGCCCACCGCCTTGTTGACACTGTCAAGCTCGCCACTCGTGTGCTCGGGATATTCTGTGAGTGTCCCTCCCCCTGCTGCTGCTCCTGCTGTTTCCCCTCTTGTTGCACCTGTTGCTGCTTCTGCTGCTGCTGCCTCTGCTGCTGCCCTGCCACTGCTCCGCCTGCTGCCTCAGCTGCTGCACCTGCTGTGGCTTAGCACAATCTGTTGTTGTGCCGACACATCACACATCACACATCGCACATCCCACATCGCACATCGCACATCGCACATCGCACATCACACATCCCACATCGCACATCGCACATCGCACATCCCACATCACACATCACACATCCCACATCCCACATCCGACATCGCACATCCCACATCCCACATCCCACATCCCACATCGCACATCGCACATCGCACATCGCACATCACACATCACACATCCCACATCGCACATCGCACATCGCACATCGCACATTACACATCACACATCCCACATCACACATCCCACATCGCACATCGCACATCGCACATCGCACATCCCACATCCCACATCCCACATCCCACATCGCACATCGCACATCGCACATCACACATCACACATCCCACATCGCACATCGCACATCGCACATCGCACATCGCACATCACACATCCCACATCACACATCCCACATCGCACATCGCACATCGCACATCGCACATCGCACATCACACATCCCACATCCCACATCACACATCGCACATCGCACATCGCACATCGCACATCCCACATCGCACATCGCACATCGCACATCACACATCACACATCCCACATCACACATCCCACATCGCACATCGCACATCGCACATCGCACATCGCACATCACACATCCCACATCCCACATCGCACATCGCACATCGCACATCGCACATCACACATCCCACATCACACATCCCACATCGCACATCGCACATCGCACATCGCACATCACACATCCCACATCCCACATCGCACATTAGGGATGAGCAAGGGGCGAACACGAACACCGCCGTTTGCCGAACCGAACACTGTTCGGTTCGGCGAACACTTTGAGCAAAAAATGGTGTTCGCCGTTCGCCTGGGAAGGCGTGTTCGGCCGAACCTCGAACACGTTCGTGTTCGTCGCGGGGAAAATTGCAGCAGCGGCCCGAACACGAACGTGTTCGGGCGAACATCGAACACTGTTCGGCGAACAATTTAAGCCAAAAAATAATACCGGTTCGGTTCGCCTCGAACACGTTCGAGGCGAAGCGAACAGGTGTTCGTTTTTTTACTCAACCCTATCGCACATCCCACATCCCACATCGCACATCGCACATCGCACATCGCACGTCCCACATCACACATCCCACATCGCACATCGCACATCGCACATCGCACATCGCACATCACACATCACACATCCCACATCGCACATCGCACATCGCACATCCCACATCCCACACCCCACATCGCACATCGCACATCCCACATCCCACATCCCACATCGCACATCGCACATCGCACATCGCACATCGCACATCCCACATCCCACATCGGACATCGCACATCCCACATCACACATCCCACATCGCACATCGCACATCGCACATCCCACATCGCACATCCCACATCCCACATCGCACATCGCACATCCCACATCCCACATCGCACATCCCACATCCCACATCGCACATCGCACATCGCACATCCCACATCCCACATCGCACATCGCACATCCCACATCGCACATCGCACATCCCACATCGCACATCCCACATCCCACATCGCACATCGTCCACTCGTCTTCGTTCTTGTGCATGGAGTGGACTCTCACCTCTAGACTTCACGACTTGCTGCCCCGTCTCTGTCACTCTGCGTCTCACTCGCTGCCCCTCTGCTCTCTCAGCCACCCTTCTCCCGCTCTCACTTCCCCTCGGCTCTCTCAGCCGCCCTTTTGAGTCGACTCAAAAGTCACCTCCTCACTCACTGCCCCTCTGCTCTCTCTCAGCCACCCTTCTCCCGCTCCCTCTCCCTTTTTGTGTGCTTCGTGTGTGTGTCTTGTGTGCCGTGCGTGCCTGCTTGTGCCCTCACCAGTCGCGGCGAGTGAGAAGGGTCATCAGCTGCCCCACTCGGCCTGCTCTCTGCTCTCTTCTTTCCGCTCTTCATTCCCTCATCTCCCCCCTCCCCCCCCCTCCCCTTCCTCTCTTTGTCTTGTGTGCCTGTGCCCGCACCACTGGTGGCAGTCGCGGCAAACGAGAGGGGTCATCAGCTACCACACTCGGCGTTCTACAACGATGCGCTCAACAGTGACGAGTTTGTGGACCTGGAGCAGGACTACAGCAAGTGGAAACACAGAGACAGGTGGGTGCGGTGGGGTGCAGTGCGGTGGGTGGGTGGGGTGCGTTGCAGTGGGGGGGGATGCAGTACGGTGGGATGGGGTGTGATGCAGTGCGGCGAACGAGAGGGGCCATCAGCTGCTGCACTCTTACAACGATGCCCTCAACAGTGACGATTTTGTGGACCTGTAGCAGGACTACTCCAAGTGGAAGCACAGAGACAGGTGGGTGCGGTGGGGGGGGCTAGGGATGGGATGGGATAAAAGGTCGAACAAAGGAGGTGAGAGAGGCAGCCCATCAACAGAGCATCTAGACCCCTTCACTCTATGTGAGCATCCATACATCCTAGAGGCAGCCAGCAAGGCGGCAGTGCTGCAGGTGGAGTCGCGGGTGGAGATGTCCCACCGCTTCCATGACGCACTGCTGGGGATGGCTTTGCCTCTCAGTGCTGTGGAGATGTCTCCCCACCCCCCTCTTCCCACTTCAGGTATCTGGCTCCCTTCACCCTGTGCGAGCACCCGTACATTCTAGAAGCAGCCAGCAAGGCGGCAGTGCTGCAGGTGGAGTCGCGGGTGGAGATGTCCCACCGCTTCCATGACGCACTGCTGGGGATGGCTTTGCCTCTCAGTGCTGTGGAGATGTCTCCCCACCCCCCTCTTCCCACTTCAGGTATCTGGACCCCTTCACCCTGTGCGAGCACCCGTACATTCTAGAAGCAGCCAGCAAGGCGGCAGTGCTGCAGGTGGAGTCGCGGGTGGAGATGTCCCACCGCTTCCATGACGCACTGCTGGGGATGGCTTTGCCTCTCAGTGCTGTGGAGATGTCTCCCCACCCCCCTCTTCCCACTTCAGGTATCTGGACCCCTTCACCCTGTGCGAGCACCCGTACATTCTAGAAGCAGCCAGCAAGGCGGCAGTGCTGCAGGTGGAGTCGCGAGTCGAGATGTCCCACCGCTTCCATGACGCACTGCTGGGGATGGCGCTGAGGGAGCACCCGCACATAGCGAACCTTGAACTGCAAAGCAAGATGCACGTACCGCTGTGCAGATATTTCTTCACTCCCTCTCAGTTCCCCCCTTTTCCTTTCAGGTACCTTGACCCCTTCACCCTGTGCGAGCACCCATACATCCTCGAAGCAGCCAGCAAAGCAGCGGTGCTGCAGGTGGAGTCACGGGTGGAGATGTCCCACCGCTTCCATGACGCGCTGCTGGGGATGGCGCTCAGAGGCCTCACGGGCGCACACATGGCGAACCCCTTCTGTGTGTTCATCGTGCGGCGGGATCACATTGTGGAAGACGCTATTCTGCAGGTAGGGGGTGCTGTGTGTTGTTTGCGCATGCAAAGAGCATGGTGTGTTGCTTGCGCATGCAAAGAGCATGGTGTGTTGCTTGCGCATGCAAAGAGCATGGTGTGTTGCTTGCGCATGCAAAGAGCATGGTGTGTTGCTTGCGCATGCAAAGAGCATGGTGTGTTGTTTGCGCATGCAAAGAGCATGGTGTGTTGTTTGCGCATGCAAAGAGCATGGTGTGTTGTTTGCGCATGCAAAGAGCATGGTGTGTTGTTTGCGCATGCAAAGAGCATGGTGTGTTGTTTGCGCATGCAAAGAGCATGGTGTGTTGTTTGCGCATGCAAAGAGCATGGTGTGTTGTTTGCGCATGCAAAGAGCATGGTGTGTTGCTTGCGCATGCAAAGAGCATGGTGTGTTGCTTGCGCATGCAAAGAGCATGGTGTGTGTGTTGTGTTGCCTCCCCTCTTCACCGGGCATGGCTCTCACTTTTTGTTTCACTGGGCTAACGTGCTCAGGGGGCTTGTAGGGAGGCAGGCAGGCACACTGCCTACTGCACGCATGCTGCCATACTCCTTCACACTCCTTCCTCTTTCCTCCAATCGCCCCTCTTTCCCCTCCTCTGTCGGTTCCTCTTTCCTCTCCTCTCTTTTCTTGCACTCAGCGGCCCGTCATCGAGAATCGCCTCTTTTCTGTGTCTCATTCTCATTTTCCTTCCTCACTCTCCCACTCACCCTCGCCCTCTCCTTCTCTCCATCCTTTCCACACTCCTCTCACTCCTCTCCTTGTTCCTGCAGGTGCAACAGCACGCAGGGGACTTGAAAAAACCGCTCAAGGTGAGACGACGGACGCACGTGTCATCCCCCCCTCCTGCACTCCCATGGTATTGTTCCATTCTCACGCATTGTGAATGCACCTCTTTCCACAACAACCCTGGCTTCACCACCCTCTTTTTGAGGCGCCTAAAAAATCGCCTCAAAAATCGTTTTGAGGCGCCTAAAAATTTGTGAATACACCTCTTTTCACAACCCTGGGTTCACCACCCTCGTTCCAATGCCCTCATGCACCACCGTCCTTCTCGTCGCATGAGAGCATGTGTGTGATGCCCTCACGCCCCCATATGCCCCATCGCTCCCGCATTCCCCGTGTGCCGTGGGAGAGCAGGTGAAGCTTGTGGGTGAGGAGGGGGTGTTTTGTTGTTCGACTCAAAAGTGCATCTCACGCCCCCGCCTGCACCCTCCCGTATTCTCTGTGTCCCGGGGGAGAGCAGGTGAAGCTTGTGGGCGAGGAGGGCGTGGACGAGGGTGAGGAGGGGTTGACTTGTGAGTTGACTCAAATGTGCGTGCGCCTCATGCCTCCATTTTGTTCCCTCCTGCATCCCCCCCCCCCGATGAGAGAGCAGGTGAAGTTTGTGGGCGAGGAGGGGGTGGACGAGGGCGGCGTGCAGAAGGAGTTCTTCCAGCTCATCATGCGCGACATCGTTGACGCCAAGGTGCGTCTTTTGTGGTGCTCCATGTACGCCTCAATGTACGCCTCAATGTACGCCTCAATGTACGCCTCAATGTACGCCTCAATGTACGCCTCAATGTACGCCTCAATGTACGCCTCCATGTACGCCTCCATGTACGCCTCAACCTCAAAAGGGTGGCGTGCAAAGGAGTTGTCGAAGGTGGACAGGTGGAGTGGAGTGCACAAGGACTTCTTCCACCTCATCACTTGTGGCATCGTTGACGCCGAGCCGAGGTGCGAATTTTGAGGCACCCCACCAGTCCACACACCTTTGATATTTCATGCGTTTTTTTTTGTGTGTGGTGTGGGGGGATCCCTGGAAAGGGGGGGGGATCCCTGGAAAGGGGGGGGGATCCCTGGAAAGGGGGGGGGATCCCTGGAAAGGGGGGGGGATCCCTGGAAAGGGGGGGGGATCCCTGGAAAGGGCCTTGTTGCAAAAACGGCCTCCTTGCTGCAGAAGGGCACGCCTCGATCCGATCCAACACGGCGAATCGTAAGCATTCCTACTCGATTGGTCCTTCATTAATAAGCAACATCGTTACATCACAAAAGGGCAGTCAAGTAAGTGCATGCAGAACACCTTCCAGTCAAGTAAGTGCATGCAGAACACCTTCCAGTCAAGTAAGTGCATGCAGAACACCTTCCAGACCTAGGGCAGCTCAAGCACAGGCTCGAGCACGGGCACAAGCACGGGCTCAAGCACGGGCTCAAGCACGGGCTCAAGCACGGGCTCAAGCACGGGCTCAAGCACGTGTAGGAGGTCGCCGGCGCCGAGGGGCTCATTCATCCATGTAAGCCAATGTGAGAGCTCGAGCCTGGGCCTTACATGTGTGGAAACGGCGCACACATCATGATTAGCTTACATGTGTGGGCATGAGCCCCTTGCAGCCCATGTGGGAGCTCGAGCCTTCGAGCCTCGGCCTCGAATGTTACCAGGGTCTTGGCGCACAGCGCGTTCACTCACCTCACCTACTCTCCTCCTCCCCTCCCCGTTCCCATTCCCGTTCTCGTTCGCGTTCCTCTGTCCCTGTCCCTTCCGGTCACCTACCATACCACACCCACACTCCCCTCGCCATCCACAGTTTGGCATGTTCACGTACAACGAGGTAACTCGTTCCTTCTGGTTCAGCGCATCCCCCATCGACATGCCGCTCGAGTTTGAGCTCGTCGGCACCGTGCTGGGTCTCGCCATCTACAACGCCCACATCCTCGATATAAGCTTCCCCCTTGTCGTCTACAAGAAGCTTCTGGGGAAGAAGACCTGCCTGGACGATCTAGCCGGGGTGAGTTGAGTTGCCCGTCCAGCCCTCGTTCTTTCTGCTGCTTCTCCCACTACCCCATCTCCCACTACCCCATCTCCCACTACCCCATCTCCCACTACCCCATCTCCCACTACCCCATCTCCCACTACCCCATCTCCCACTACCCCATCTCCCACTACCCCATCTCCCACTACCCCATCTCCCACTACCCCATCTCCCACTACCCCTTCTCCCACTACCCCTTCTCCCACTACCCCTTCTCCCACTACCCCATCTCCCACTACCCCTTCTCCCACTACCCCATCTCCCACTACCCCTTCTCCCACTACCCCTTCTCCCACTACCTCTCATTTCTGTGTGTGTCGCTGACCCGCCTCTGACTGACCGTCCCAGACCTCTCCCTGACCTATCCCTGACCTCTCCCTGACCTGTCCCGGACCTATTCCCGGACCACCATTGCAGGTGGACCCGGACCTGCATCGAGGGCTCAAGGGGCTGCTGGCATTCCAGGGCAACGTTGAGGTGAGCGAGAGAAAGTGCCGTGCACTGCACACAGGTGCAGGGGGGGGAGGGCAAGGAAGAGCAGGGGAAGGCAGGGGAGGGCAGGGGAGGGCAGGGGAGGGCAGGGGAGGGCAGGGGAGTGAGTGCGTGCATGTTGTATCATCATGGTGCTTGGAGGCGTCGTACGCGGGCGTGTTCGGCTCGCCTCGCCCACCACGCTGCCTGCCAGGGAGCTGCCTGCTGCCTCGTTTCGGCTTCTGATTCTGCTCCCCTTACCCCCTCTCCTCCGCCCCCACGTACACACGCGCATCAGGAGGTGTACTCATGGTGCTTCGAGGCGTCGTACACGGACGTGTTTGGCTCGCCCACTGCAGTGCTGGGGAGGTGGATGCTGCCGGCCTGGTGGGCTTGGTTGTGGCACTTAATTATGCTTCTTTCCCCCTCCCGGGTCGCCCCCACGTACACACGCGCATCAGGAGGTGTACTCGTGGTGCTTCGAGGCGTCGTACACGGACGTGTTTGGCTCGCCCACCACGGTGCCGCTCAAGGACGGTGGCGAGAGCCTTCCTGTCACCAACAGCAACCGGGAGGAGTTTGTGGAGCTGCTGGTGGACGTGAGTATGGGGAGTAGGGTTTGGAGCTTAGGGTTTGGGGTTTCGGGTTTGGAGCTTACGGTTTGGGGTTTCGGGTTTGGAGCTTAGGGTTTGGAGCTTAGGGTTGAGGGATAGGTCAAACGTTTGAGTCGTCTCAGAAGGAGTTTGTGGAGCTGCTGGTGGACGTGAGTGCATGGCGTCGGGTTTGGAGCTGACGGTTTGGGGGGGTTGGGGTGTCTGGTTTAGGGTCAAGGGCTAAGGGTTTAGGGTCAAGGGCTAAGGGTTTAGAGTCAAGGGCTAAGGGTTTAGAGTCAAGGGCTAAGGTTTTAGAGTCAGAGCTGGTCAGGGCGGGTCAGGGCGGGTCAGGGCGGGTCAGGGCGGGTCAGGGCGGGTCCGGACGGGTTGGGACGGGTCAGGGCGGGCGGGTCCGGGCGGGTCCGGGCGGGTTGGGACGGGTGAGGACGGGTGAGGACGGGTGAGGACGGGTGAGGACGGGTGAGGACGGGTGAGGACGGGTGAGGACGGGTGAGGACGGGTGAGGACGGGTGAGGACGGGTGAGGACGGGTGAGGACGGGTGAGGACGGGCGAGGACGGGTGAGGACGGGTGAGGACGGGCGAGGACGGGTCGGAACGGGTCAGGGCGGGTCACGGCGGTCTCAGTTCCATCTGAACAAGCTAGTGCAGCGTCAGTTCGGCCCCTTCTCCCGCGGCTTCCTGCGGCTTCCTGACTCTTCTTCCCCTCCCCCTCCCCCTCCCCCGTCCCCACCAGTTCCACCTAAACAAGCTAGTGGAGCGCCAGTTCGGCCCATTCTCGCATGGCTTCCTGCGCCTGTGCGGCGGCCCCGTGCTGCGCCTCTTCCAACCCGACGAGCTCGAGTTGCTCATCTGCGGCAGCCCCGTGTTTGACTTTGAAGAGCTGTGAGTGCGCATACTTGTTGGCAAGGCTCGTGGCTGCCTCTGATTGGTTGGTGCTGTGCATGATTCCAATCGCCCCCCCTGGATGGGCTCGAGTTGCTCATCTGCGGCTGTGCCCCGTGTTCGACTGTGAAGAGCTGTGAGTGCCTGTGACCTGGGAATGAGGTACACATTGCAGGCCATGGGTCTGTCCGCGGTTGGTTGGCTGGCTGGGGTAACGCACAGCTCTGAGGTGGCAAGCTGGGGTGCGGGCCAGTGTTCCTCTGCACTCCAGCTTTTGAGGCACCTCAAAAGCCATCGTTGCAGGCCATGGGTTTGTCCGTGGTTGGTTGGATTGCTGCAGTGTTCCTCTCCACCACAGACAGACCTGTGAGTTACCAGAGCTTGCTTGGACAAGCAGCTTGTTTCCTTCCCACAATTAGTGGGTCAGACACTTGGCTTCTGCAGCTGTTCTACCTCTGCTTCGTTTTTTTAGGCGCCTAAAAAATACCTTATGGGGCTGATCTACCTCTGCTTCGAGTCCCTGTTATGTTCTGTGGTGTTTACTTGGCTATTCATTAGTTGGATTCTTGCTGACTATCTGTCTGCATGTCTGTCTATCTGTCCACGTGTGAGTGCAGGGAGAGGAATGCGCGGTATGAGGATGGGTACACCAAGGAGTCTCCCGTCATTAAGAACTTCTGGAAGGTAATCCATGCTCTGGCGGTCTGATGTTCAAAGGTGTTTCATGTGAGCATGCAGTTGACTTTTGAGTCGTCGACTCAACAGTCACTTCTGGAAGGTAATCCATGTTCTGGCGGTCTAATGTTCAAAGGTGTTTCATGTGAGCATGCGGTTTTATGTGAGCATGCTGTTTCATGTGAGCATGCTGTTTCATGTGAGCATGCTGTTTCATGTGAGCATGCGGTTTCATGTGAGCATGCTGTTTCATGTGACCATGCTGTTTCATGAGAGCATGCTGTTTCATGTGACCATGCTGTTTCATGTGAGCATGCACTGACTAAGACACACCACCCTGCTCGCGTTGCCCCATCACGGCTTCTCCTCTCACCTCTCGTTATTCCAGGGATTGTGTGTGTGTGCGCGTGTTTCACTCGTCTCACTGCTCCTCGCGTTGGTCACGTACCTCTCACCACCACCTGTCAACCTCACCTGCCCCCTCCCACCAGGTGGTGCATGAGCTGCAGGACGCAGAGAAGAGGAATCTTCTGGCGTTGATTCGTCCACACCTCCAGCCCTCTCTTGCGCCTCTCATTCCCCACTCTAACCTCCCCTCTCTACATCCCACCAGGTGGTGCATGGGCTACAGGACGCAGAGAAGAGGAATCTGCTGCCGTTTGTGCTTTCAAGCCTCTAACCCTCTCTTGCACCTCTGATTCCCCCATCCCCCCTTCTCTGCTCTCCCCTCCCCTCGCCCACCAGGTGGTGCACGGGCTCGGGGACGCAGAGAAGAGAAATCTGCTGGCGTTTGTGCCGCTGAACCTCCAACGCTCTCTCGCACCTCCTCACTCGCATCTCTTCCCTCCCCCCTTCCCTCTCTCCCCTCTCCCCTCCCCTCGCCCACCAGGTGGTGCACGGGCTCGGGGACGCAGAGAAGAGAAATTTGTTGGCGTTTGTGACGGGGTGTGACCGCGCGCCCATCAAGGGCCTGGCGTCCCTGCCCTTTGTCATCTCCCGAGCTGGTCAGTGTTGCTGCGTTGCTGGTGGGTGTGTATGTAGTGAGTGTGCTCGCCGGTCATGTGCATGTGCATGTGCTGCGAGTTTTGAGACGTCTCAAGAGTCAACAGGGCGCCCATCAAGGGCCTGGCGTCCCTGCCCTTTGTCATCTCCCGAGCTGGTCAGTGTTGATGTGCTGTTAACTCATGCGCTTGTAACGAGTGTGCGATATTACGTCTTTTTTTTAGTGGCCATCTTTGTGTCGGTAGTGGGGGTTGAGCTCGCCCTTTCCTGATTTTTGAGGCGTCTAAAAAAACTTTGTGGCGGGTTGAGCTCGCCCTTGCTTGTCTTCTAGTCACGGGACTTATGTGTATGATAACCATGGTTAGTCCAGCCTTATTGAGCGTGACATATAATGAGTCCAATGCTAGTGCGTACGCTGCTGTGAACGAACACATTTCGGGCATGTTATAACGTATTTAGTAGTTGTGTGCTAATTGTCTCCCCCAATCACCTCTCAGCACCACCACCCATCATCCCTCACCACCTCCCACCCACCACCACCCATCAGGCCCAGACTCCGATCGGCTACCAACAGCACACACATGCTTCAACCACCTGTTGCTGCCTGAATACTCCAACCTTGACAAGGTGAGTCTTAGAGCGCACACAGGGAACAGGGTCAGTCCTGAGACGTCCCATAACAGCGCACACACATGCTTCAACCACCTGTTGCTGCCTGAATACTCCAACCTTGACAAGGTGAGTCTTGAAGCTCTCTGAACAAGCCAATGCTTGAACCACTCAGAACAAGCTGAGTGTTGAGAAGTCTCAAAACAGCGCACACATGCTTCAACCACCTGCTGCTGCCCGAATACTCCAACCTCGAGAAGGTTAGTCTTCGAGCTGGCTCAAACCACTCAGAACAAGGAAAGTATTGACAAGGGAAGTCTTGACACGTCTCAAAGCTGCCAACATCGCACACATGCTTGAACTAAGTGCTGCTCACCGGATACTCCACGATTTTCCCCAACAAGGTGACTTCCACAATCTCTAACATTAGGTACGACTTCCATGTTGCCGTTGCCATTGGGATTGCCATTGGGATTGCCATTGGGATTGCCATTGGGATTGCCATTGGGATTGACATTGGTATTGCCATTGGGATTGCCATTAGGATTGACATTGGGATTGCCATTGGGATTGACATTGGTATTGACATTGGGATTGACAATGGTATTGACATTGGTATTGACATTGGTACTGACATTGTTATTGACATTGTCAATGACATTGTTAATGACATTGTTATGGACATTGTTATTGACATTGTTATTGACATTGTTATTGACATGCACTGCTGCTGATTTACTCTTGTGACTCGTGCTGTCGGTTCTACCACTGCCATGCAATGCAATCACGTATATATACTCTTCTTCCTCTTGCTCTGAACCCACAGCGCATTGCACGACCCCTTGTGACTCGTGCCGTCGGTTCTACCATTGACATGCCATGCAATCACAGTGAACTCATGCTTCGTGATACAGTCACTGTGTATTTCATACAATCACATACGGCCCTGTGCTATGCTCTTCATACCTTCCTACGCTCTCCCACCATCTCTCCTCATAATCCCATGCCACCATCTGTGCTCCCCATCGTACAGCTGCAAACGCGGCTACTGACGGCCATCAACAACTCGCAAGGGTTCGGGCTCATGTAGAGGAGGAGAAGCGGCAGCAGCATCGCTCAGGACATCAGACTCATGTGGGGTAGAGCATGCATCCACCTCAACGCGAGCAGGAGTTTGGATTCGAGTAGAATCAGCAGCAGCAGCGGCGGCAGCGGCAGCGGCAGCGGCATTGCAGAAGTTGTCGCGTGCATGCAGGGCGAGGCATTTACAGGAGGCGCATGTAGACAAAGCATCCGTAGCAATCCTCAGGAACGCGTGCACAAGCGGAAGCTGCAAGAGCATGAGGCACATGGATCAGGAGGCCTCCTTGGGATTGCCACGTGTCCAACGACGTTCCCTCCCGTCCCTCCAATCCCTCCGCTCGTTGAAGCATGCACCTGCAGCTGGGACTGGCTATTTCTAAGGCTGTTGGTGCTGTTGTTGTGGGCCCTTTAACATGTGCCAAATTGTGTAGATAAAATGTGTCAAATCAATTTGCCTTGCTTACTATGAGCAGCAATGAGCTTCTTCAGGATGACTATTTGATTTGCATACAATTTGATTGGTTTCTCAATCTGGCATGTAAAGTACATGCTGTGCTGCATCTTCCATCTCTTCAAGTAAAAGCTCCGGTAACATGTGTGCAAAATGCTCGCAGGCCTCATTTCATTTCCACTATCCAATTCAAAGCAGGAAAACACAATTAGGGGCTTGTAAGGCAAAAAACAAACACTTGCTCACATGGGTAATGCAGCACACTATGGTATGGTCTAGAACTGTTTACAGTCATCATGGGAGAACCACACATGCCAAAGCCAGCCACCACAAGGTCGGCCCAAAATGTTTTTTGACTACAAATCTGGTAAGCTATTGGAGCCGAGTCTGATGCACAAACTTGGTGTGCTCTGCTGCATGTGGTGGTGACATGGTAGCTGTCACAGCCTGAAAAAGGTTAGTCCAAGAGCATCCTCCCACCCAGCTGCAAAAAAACTTCATACGGAATACCAGCCTGATACAAGTACTGAATGAGTATTGGATACCAACCTGATACTTAGTACAGAATGAATACCTCAATACCGAATTAATACTGACCTGATAGCTTAATACCGAATCAATACTGACCTGATACCTCAATACCGAATGAGTACTGCCCTGATACCTCAATACTCAAAGAAACCGACCTGATACTGACCCGAATGAATACTGGCTTGACTATTGCCCTCAGCATCTCTAACCCTGCAGTATAGAAACTTGTTCAGGGAGGTACGAAACAGACATTTACAAATGGTTACCAAGAACAGTTCCAGTTTAAACCGCACCCACCCTCTCCTGTTCTGTTTCCCATTTTAAAGCTTCAAGCTAACATCAGAAGCAGCAATATGGCTGAGCTGATTGCGAGGTGATTTTCTTTGTTATTCTCAAAAGTCACCGAAGCTCACCTCATTGCGGGCCAGCAGCTCGTGTCAGAATCCGTCAGAAGTCGCATTCAACGAAAGGTTTACCACCACACCCTCCACTGCTTTGATTCACTGAGGGGAGGGGGGGTGAGAGGGAGAGGATGAGGTGGAGAGCACGGGGCGTGGGGAGGGTGAAGGGGCAGGGAGAGGGTGAGTGCTGAGGTAAGGGATATGGGGCATGGAGCGATAAATGAGTCATGATTTTCAGGCCATGAGCTGCAATCATGGTCACAGTGCTTACTGGTGATGCTTAAAAGCATAATTTACAGTGTGCCACATGCGTTTTACATGGGAAGAAGGAATGCCTCCTTGGCGAGGCGATTGAACATAATGTGAAAGAGATCATGCCCAACTGACACATTCATGCCCAACTGACGCATTCATGCCCAACTGACACATTCATGCCAACTGACACATTCATGCCAACTGACACATTCATGCCAACTGACACATTCATGCCCAACTGACACATTCATGCCCAACTGACACATTCATGCCAACTGACACATTCATGCCAACTGACACATTCATGCCAACTGACACATTCATGCCAACTGACACATTCATGCCAACTGACGCATTCATGCCAACTGACGCATTCATGCCAACTGACACTTTCATGCAAGCAAGTGCCTCTTGTAGCATGCATACAAACAATGTGAGACATACTCATGCCGTACGCCCCTCATCAGCTGCCCCAAACGACAAGATCAATAACCCATACAGCAGATAAAGCTCCTTGGTTATTGCAACTGGTGTCTTAACTTTGTGATATATACACATTAATGATCATAATAGCATATAATTTACATGGCCCTACAAGTAACAGACTTAGCCCTATCAGTGAGTGAACTATATCATACAAGGTAATTTTGTTCCTATACACTAGCAAGTGGCAAGTCAAGTTTGTCACCTCCACCTGGGTTGCTGGGACTGCTGTTTCTGCGAGGCTGCTGTTGCAGTCTGGCCTCGCAGCTCACTGTTGCTCCCTGCTGCTGCCTGCAATCCCTTCTTCCCCTCCCCCCTCACAGCCGAAATTGAACCTTTTCTCAATCTGCTCGTGGCAGCAGCAGCACCACCAGCAGCAGCATGTCTTGCTGACTTCTCAACTGTCACTGCAGAAATCTTACCCTTGCATCCAACACTTTTCGGTGCAGCACCATACTTGCTTGCCTCTCCCTTTCCAGTCCCCCTCACTGCTGCACCACAGGCTGCTGCTTTCACAGGTGGCTTCACTGCCTGTGGTGTGGCTAATTTCGCTGCTGCTTTCACCGCTGGTCGTCCCGCTGGCGAAGCTGCTGCGCGTGCTGATGGCTTGCACGCAACCGGCTTTACCACAGCGGATACTGCTGCCTTGGCCACTGGCCGTACTGATGGGGCTGCTGCCTTGACCACTGGCCGTACTGCTGCCTTCGCCACTGATGGCGATGGTTTCACTGCTGATCGTGCTGATGGTTTGCAAGCCTCTTTTTTAGGCGAAGCACCAACAGGCACAGCAGCAGAAGCAGCAGCAACGACGCCAGCAATGGCATCAGCAACGGCATCAGCAGCAGCAGCCGCAGCCACAGGCGCAGCAGCAGCGACAGCAGCACCAAGAGCGTCAGCCGCAGCACTCGCAGCAGCGGCAACCATGCCAACAGCAGAAGCGACAGCCGTGACAAGGGCGGGCCTTAACGACGAGAAGCCCAGCCGCGCTCCACCACGGTGTTCCCGGCGGTTCTTGCTCGCCTCAGCAAAGCGGCCCAGCTTGAGAGCCACCTCCGTGGAGGTCATGGGCTTGCGAGCCGCCAGCAGCAGCATCTGCTCGCCTTCACTCCTAACTGCAGGAGTCCTAATCGAGTGATCGTTCAGATAAGCCTCGTCCGCGTCTGTCCATTCCGTGACGAATTCGGCGGGGTTAACTGAACCGTGCTCGGCCACCCACTCGGCAACACTCCAGCCAACGGACGTCCTTACTGAAGCACTTCTCAGATACCTATCATCCTCAACCGTCCACTCTGAGATAAAATCATCAGAGTTTACAGCATGTCCCACCAGAAGCAACAGCTCGTCGCTTACGCTCAGCGTAGCACGGCGATTCCTGACGGGAGCTCTCAGATCGGCCTCATCTTGAGCGGTCCATTCAGTGATAAAATCAGCGGAGCTTACTGTTGTAAGTTTCGCCAAGAGCAGCAGCTCCTCGCTCACACTGAGTTCAGCCGGTGCTGCTCTCAGTTGAGCTTCATCAGCAGCAGTCCATTCGTAAATGCAATCGTAGGGAAGCGGGTTCACTGTAGGGCAGTCCAACCAGCTCGGTACCTCCCACAGGTACCTCGCTGCGTTTCCGAAGCACGTGGCAGCAGCAAGAGCAACGGCCAGGGCAGTTTCAGGGTTGATCCCGTCCATTCGAGCAACGAGAGCAGAAAGGCAAAGTCTGTGCGAGAGCGAGTGACTGAAAGAGCGTGTGAAGCAAACAAGTTGTGATTGAAGAGAAATGGTCGTCAAGTGACCATTTCTACTGACACCAAGCCGTGGGTTCCCCCGGCTCTCGTTCAAGGGTTGGTTCGGTACTTTTGGGTGCAGCCTCGGCACCACACCCGTTTATTGCTGAGGCAAACGCGAGGCGGCCAGTGGATGGTCCACATTTCTGCTCGTCTGACGGTACCGCCAGCTAACACGAAAATTGAACTGTTGGAGTGTTTCCGGTGTGCTTCCGAAAACGTATCTGCGGCCAGATTTGCCCTCGATATGATTATTTTGCAGCATGCTCACGTGGATGACAAAACAACGGCTAGACAGGCTCAAATCGGACGGCATAAAACACATCGGAAATTTCGGTACCGTGCCTACGGCTAGGCTTGGCGCCGACATCCGCAGCGCGTGGCGAATGGAAGCTGGTGACACGCTGAACCTAGCCCAGCATGACGTGTTTCACCCGTGGATCTACGTGTCGCGTGGCGGTGTGGGGTCGTACCTGGGTGGGATAATAATTGGGAGAACGCAGTGCTCCACGTGACAGACGTCGATCTAAGCTGCGAGGCTCCTGCAAACTCGTAAAGGGCGGCTGAACAAGGCACCAAGTCTATCGCCCGCCAATCGGCTGGCAATCTGCTAGATCCAGTGCGATGATCTCGATCTGTAATCAGGATGGGGCGGGCTTCTGAAACAGCGTGCGGTTCTCGATCTCTAGTCAGGATGGTCGGGCTTCTCAGGAGCAGAGAGCAGCTGCATTCTCTAGAGCTGATCAGCTCACTAATCGAGAGGACGGGACAAGTGGAGAATTGGGATGGTTTGGTGGAGCACCAAACCCTAGGTCCCAAGACCACTGCCAAAGTACCCGTTCAGGTGCGATTTTGATATTCCGCAATATAAGTATATTCGGTAAACATCTGGCTGCCACGATCACTATTCGGCCCCAGAATCTGGGCGCGCCAAGGTGCGCTGGATCTGCCGCTTAGTGCCAGGTCACATTAACCTTGTCAAAGAGCCACGGTGGCAAGAGCGTGGAAAAAGGAGTTACGAAAAGGTGTGCAGCATATTCGCATTCAATACGTCACGGTTCTGTTCGGTTTGCTGCACTATACGCAAAATGTCATGTAGAACCGTGTGAAATCGTACGAAAACGTACTGAACCATAACGTGATGAGCACAAATCTATTGCGGTTGACAAACACTCCCCTCGTCGTCGGTAGGGATCAGGCGCGGAGGGAATGTCTGGAAGATAAAACAGACTCTCCATCCCATTTTGAAACAATTCTAGCTTCTGAATCTTTGCACGTCTCTTTTCAGTTTTTGTCAGCTGACTTTACGCCAGTCGAGCCTCTGACGAATCTGCCTTCCCAGCCTCCCAGTCTTTTTCATTTCTAATCATAACTATGGGTCGTAAGTTCATCGTCGGAGGCTACTGGAAGTGCGTGAGTATCCGTTCATTGTTACTGCTGAGATGTAGACTCGTCAGATCCGGATTCTAAGCTTACCGTGTTCCTCGTTACGTTTCACAGAACGGCACCCAGGAGTCTATCAAGACGCTTGTAAACTGTTGCTCTCTGTCGGTAAAAAAAAAAATGTAAAAAAAAAAAAAACGCTTGTAAACTGTTGCTCTCTATCAGGAGTCTGTCGGTAAAAAAAAAAAAAAAAAAAAAAAAAAAAAAAAATAAATAAATCTGTTGTTCAGGAAGGATTCAGAAATTCCTGCTAGTGAGAAGTTGCCACGTTATTTCCAATGAGCCAGGATAAATATGCAGGTGCTACGTTCCAGATATTAGTGATAATAGTGTGTGACGAATGGACTAACTAGACCAGGAATCCAAGTGAATGTCCACTTGCAAACAAATGACATTCAAATGGGGCGCATGGTACTCGACACCATCGTGTCGTGTCACACTTTTGAATGGAGTGCACGAGAGTTAACTGTATACGAGGAATAACAATGGCCAACCGATAGCTGTCACATAAAACAGGTACTGCTGACACCAGAAAATTACCAAGGGCCCAGCACAACCCCACGGGTAGAATTGAGCAATGACCCAACCCAACCGAGCGAGGGCGTTCTGGAACATGTGTGAGCTCTGATTCTGTCTGCCCGCACCAGGGCTTACTTTATCAGAAATTTTTGGTCTGAATTTCTGGATTCTGAACACATTTTTACTGGTTCATCTGATGCAGTAGACATGCTGTTTAATTTCGTCTGATTTTTTTAGATAAGCTTTTTCTATTCATCTGATTTCTCAGACAGCCTTATACAGTTCGTCTGAGACTGCAGATATCGAGTCATTTTCGACTGCAGGCAAAACTCTCGAAAGAAGCAGACGACAAGATTTGATCTGGAAACCTGTCTTCACTGCTCCATATTCTACTGACTGGACCATTAGAGCTGTTCATGGCTATTACTTGAACGTTTCAGTCATATTTGAGAATACATTGCTTGCTTGCTTTATAACTTCTCAGACAAGTATTTTGGATTCGTCTGAAAAGCTAGACAAGGTTACAGCTTTCGTCTGACAATCAGACAAGGAGCCAGGACCCGGTCTTGACATCAGACGGGTCATTTTACTAAAGTTAGCCCTGGCCCGCACCTCACTGCTCAGCACGAGCCGACACCGCTCCCCACTGCACTCCCCACCAATACAAATTAACCCCCCCCCCTCTTACCCGTCTCCTACACGCAGAGAGCACCAGTCACATCAAGGAGCTCAAAAATTTTAGGCGCCTAAAAAATCGGTACTCAGCCCCTCCCCCAGTCTTCTACACAAAGACATCACCAGTCACATCATGGAGCTGCAAGGGACGCCACCGCCCCCCCTTCCCACTCATCACATCACTACGTCGCCATCCCAACAGGCCGTTCATGGTACTACTGATAGAAACGAGACAGCAGCCCACTGCCACATCTTCTTCCTCCCACCACCCCTTCCACCTTCCCATACGCTCTCATGCACGCAGAGCGCAGGAGGGAGGGGTCACATGACAGAGTACCGTCCAGGCTGCACGGGGCGCTGCTGGTGCGATGCGTCAGCAGCGCTGGCCTCCTCAATGATGCGCTTGATCTCCACCTTGGCCTTCTTCACACTCGCCTCCGTCGGCCCCTCGATCGACAAATACAGCTTCTTCTCCCCGGCCGCTAATGCCTTGCCCGGCGGGCAGTACAGCCCGCGCGTCGTCACAGACGCGCCCGTCCACTCGATGATCTGGTTTAGGGTTTCCTTGTGGGTGATCTTCCACCGCGCGTGCTGCGGGAACTCGTTGATCTCGAATTCCGCTTCGTAGTGCGCTTTGACCGGTTCGGCGGGTTGAAGTTTGGCTAAGTTGTGCTGGAGGCTGATGGCTGCTGCGAAGGCCGCTGCGCGGGAGACCGGGGTTGGGGCTGCGGCGGCTGCTGAGGCGATGGCGGTCGCTGCTGATTCCCCTGCTGCTGCCGCTCCCACCAGGGAGGCGGCGAGCGGGTTCGCAAGGGCAGCAGCAGCACCGGCAGCACCAGCGGCACCAGCAGCGCCAGCAGCAGGAGTGATACCCATCTGGGCCATCCTCGCCTGCACGGCTGCTTGGATCGGATTCGTCGCTGCCCCTGCCGGCACCGCGCCCCCTGCTTGGTTCGCTGCAGCCGCAGCCGCAGCAGCCGCCACCGCCGCTGCGATACTCTGAGCCGCCGACGCCGCCGCGCCACCCGCACTCGGCGCCTCAACCCTCCGAATCGCCCCGCTGCCATCCTTCTCCTCCTTCTCCTCCTCCTCCTCGCCCCCCTCCTCCTCATCCACAACCACACCATACTCCTTCGCCTGGGCTTTCTTCAGCGCCTTCTTAGCAGCTTCCTCCTCCTCGTTAAACTTAAAGCCGCTCCCGCCATACCCGCTCCCGTGCGCCACCACGCTCCCCGCCTTCACCTTGGCAGTGAACGCATCAGCCATGGCTTTAAGATCCTCCGGAATCGGCTGCTTCGACAGCTCCAAGGCTCGGACCAGGTCCGGCGCGAACCGATCCTCTTCCGGACTGATAAACGTCACCGCGCACCCTTTCCTCCCGGCCCTCCCGGTCCTCCCCACCCGATGCACATAATCCTCGTAATGGTTCGGCACATCGTAGTTAATCACCAGCTCTAATTCCTTAACATCTAATCCTCGAGCTGCCACACTAGTAGCCACTAGCAAGTTACACACGTTGGTTTTGAAGTCCTGGAGGGTGGACTCGCGGTCGGTCTGGTCCTTGGCGCCGTGCAGCGAGAGGCATGGGTAGCCGGATTTCAGGAGGTCACGGAAGAGCGCGTCGCACTTGTCTTGGGAGTGCACAAAGACGAGGATTTTGCCCTTGTCGCACCACTCGCCCAGCAGCTCCAGGAGGCGCAGGAAGCGCTGCTCTCCCTCGGGCCGCACCTCCACCGTTTGGGTGATGTCGCTGTTGACAACGCTGCGCCCTCCGACCTGGGTATGGGGAGAGAGGGAAGGGACGAGAGGGTGAGAGTCTCGCCCAGCAGCTCCAGGAGACGCAGGAAGCGCTGATCCCCCTCGGGGCGAACTTCAACCGTTCGAGTGATGTCGCTGTTGACAACGCTGCGCCCTCCCACCTGTGGAGGGAGGGAAGGAGAAGAGGGGGGGGACAGGGGAAGAGGGGCTTCGGGAACAAGTGTGGGATTGGGGGATGGGGACCGGGGAGAAAGAAGAGGATGAGCGTATTGCTTTGAGACGCCTCGAGGCTCCACAGGGGATGGGGGGAGGGGAGGGATGAACGTGAGTGATGTCGCTGTTCACCACACTGCGCCCTCCCACCTGGGAAGGTTGGGAGGGCGCATTCAGGCACATTCAGGCGCATTCAGGCACATTCAGGCGCATTCAGGCACATTCAGGCACATTCAGGCACATTCAGGCACATTCAGGCGCATTCAGGCACATTCACGCACATTCACGCACATTCAGGCACATTCAGGCGCATTCAGGCACATTCAGGCACATTCACGCGCATTCAGGCACATTCAGGCACATTCAGGCACATTCAGGCACATTCAGGCACATTCAGGCACATTCAGGCACATTCAGGCACATTCAGGCACATTCAGGCACATTCAGGCACATTCAGGCACATTCAGGCACATTCAGGCACATTCAGGCACATTCAGGCACATTCAGGCACATTCAGGCACATTCAGGCACATTCAGGCACATTCAGGCACATTCAGGCACATTCAGGCACATTCAGGCACATTCAGGCACATTCAGGCACATTCAGGCACATTCAGGCACATTCAGGCACATTCAGGCACATTCAGGCACATTCAGGCACATTCAGGCACATTCAGGCACATTCAGGCACATTCAGGCACATTCAGGCACATTCAGGCACATTCAGGCACATTCAGGCACATTCACGCACATTCACGCACATTCAGGCACATTCAGGCGCATTCAGGCACATTCAGGCACATTCAGGCGCATTCAGGCACATTCACGCACATTCACGCACATTCAGGCACATTCAGGCACATTCACGCACATTCACGCACATTCAGGCACATTCAGGCACATTCAGGCAAATTCAGGCACATTCAGGCACATTCACGCACATTCACGCACATTCACGCACATTCACGCACATTCAGGCACATTCAGGCACATTCAGGCACATTCAGGCACATTCAGGCACATTCAGGCACATTCAGGCACATTCAGGCACATTCAGGCACATTCAGGCACATTCAGGCACATTCAGGCACATTCAGGCACATTCAGGCACATTCAGGCACATTCAGGCACATTCAGGCACATTCAGGCACATTCAGGCACATTCAGGCACATTCAGGCACATTCAGGCACATTCAGGCACATTCAGGCACATTCAGGCACATTCACGCACATTCACGCACATTCAGGCACATTCAGGCACATTCAGGCACATTCAGGCACATTCAGGCACATTCAGGCACATTCAGGCACATTCAGGCACATTCAGGCACATTCAGGCACATTCAGGCACATTCAGGCACATTCAGGCACATTCAGGCACATTCACGCACATTCACGCACATTCAGGCACATTCAGGCGCATTCAGGCACATTCAGGCACATTCAGGCGCATTCAGGCACATTCACGCACATTCACGCACATTCAGGCACATTCAGGCACATTCACGCACATTCACGCACATTCAGGCACATTCAGGCACATTCAGGCAAATTCAGGCACATTCAGGCACATTCACGCACATTCAGGCACATTCAGGCACATTCACGCACATTCAGGCACATTCAGGCACATTCAGGCACATTCAGGCACATTCAGGCACATTCAGGCACATTCAGGCACATTCAGGCACATTCAGGCACATTCAGGCACATTCAGGCACATTCAGGCACATTCACGCACATTCACGCACATTCAGGCGCATTCAGGCGCATTCAGGCACATTCAGGCACATTCACGCGCATTCAGGCACATTCAGGCACATTCACGCACATTCAGGCACATTCAGGCACATTCAGGCACATTCAGGCACATTCAGGCACATTCAGGCACATTCAGGCACATTCACGCACATTCAGGCACATTCAGGCACATTCAGGCACATTCAGGCACATTCACGCACATTCACGCACATTCACGCACATTCACGCACATTCAGGCACATTCAGGCACATTCAGGCACATTCAGGCACATTCAGGCACATTCAGGCACATTCAGGCACATTCACGCACATTCACGCACATTCAGGCACATTCAGGCGCATTCAGGCACATTCAGGCACATTCAGGCACATTCAGGCACATTCACGCACATTCAGGCACATTCACGCACATTCAGGCACATTCAGGCACATTCAGGCACATTCACGCACATTCACGCACATTCAGGCACATTCAGGCACATTCAGGCACATTCACGCACATTCAGGCACATTCAGGCACATTCACGCACATTCACGCACATTCAGGCACATTCAGGCACATTCAGGCAAATTCAGGCACATTCAGGCACATTCACGCACATTCACGCACATTCACGCACATTCAGGCACATTCAGGCACATTCAGGCACATTCAGGCACATTCAGGCACATTCAGGCACATTCACGCACATTCACGCACATTCACGCACATTCAGGCACATTCAGGCACATTCAGGCACATTCAGGCACATTCAGGCACATTCAGGCACATTCAGGCACATTCACGCACATTCACGCACATTCAGGCACATTCAGGCACATTCAGGCACATTCAGGCACATTCACGCACATTCAGATACGTCACCCTCTCCCCCTCGGGCCCTCGGGAGAGACCCGTGCTCCCACCCACCCAACTTTGCACACACAGAATGGGAGAGAGCGAGAATGACCCACCTGTATTTCTATCGGTTTAGTGAGAACCTTCCTCGCAAGGGTCTCCACCTGGCGGGGGAACGTGGCCGAGAACAGCACCGTCTGTCTATCCGGCCTTGTATTCCCAATGATCCGTCCGATCTGCGGCTCAAAGCCCATGTCAAACATGCGGTCCGCCTCGTCCAGCACCAAGTAAGTCACCCTCTTGAGGTTGGTAATCCGCCCGTTGCTGGTCGCCAGAATGTCGATCATGCGCCCGGGCGTGCACACCACGACCTCGGCGCCGCGCTTGAGCTCGCTGATCTGCTGCGCCACGCCGGAGCCGCCGTAGACGGGCACGCAGGAGAGGCCGAGGGGGCGCGCGAAGCGGCGGATGTCAGTGAAGATCTGCTGCACGAGCTCGCGCGTGGGGGCGAGAATCAGGCCTATGGGACCATCTCCGGATTGAAGTGGGGGCTGCAGGCGGGGAAAGCGGTGGATTGAAGGAGAGGGATGGAGAGGAAGGGAAGGGAAGAGGAAAAAGGTTGATTTTGAGTTTGATTTCACTGATCTGTTGCGGCATGCCTGACCATCGTACACGGAGAGACACACACAATCTCCAGGAGGTGTGCGAAGCGGCGGATGTCGGTGAATATCTGCTGCACGAGCTCACGTGTAGGGGCCAGGATGAGGCTTATGGACCGTCCCTAGATTGCAACGGAGGCTGGTGCAAGGGAGTGGGGGGGGTTGGAGGGAGAGGGGAGTGAGGGAAACAGAGAGATGCAGACAGAAAGACAGGGAAGGAACCTTGAGGTGGGTATTTTGCTGGCCCACGCTAGGCCCGCCGTACGCTGGCACGCACACCCACAGGACAATCCCAAGGGGCACCCGAAACGGCGGATGTCAGTGAAGATCTGCTGCACGAGCTCCCTCGTGGGGACTAGAATCAGGCCGATAGGACCGTCACCGAATTGCAGTGAGGGCTGGTGGAGGGGAGGGGGGAGGAGAGAGAGGAGAGAGGGAAAGAAGAGAAGCGAACGGAGGGAATGAGAGGGAAAAACGAGAAGGAAGAGTGAGCTCGCTAATTTGCTGTGCCACGCCCGACCGCCGTACACAGGCGCGCACACGGGGTATTTCAAGGAGCACCTGGAAAGGCGGATGTCAGTGAAGAGTAACTGCACGAGCTCCAGTGTGGGGGCGAGGATGAGAGCCATGGGGCCCCCCTCTCATTCAGCGGGGGCTGTGGTGGGAAGATGGGGGGAAGGAGAGGGGAGTTGAGGCTCAGTGACCTGCTCCGCTGCACGATGCGCTCGATGAGCACAATGGGGCCGTCCCCGGATTGCAGTGGGGGGTGGCGCCGGGCAGGAAGGGGAACAGAGGGTCTCATCTTCAGCTCGCTGATGTCCACTGGGGGCCGCTTACGGGGGCCGCTTCACTGGGGGCCGCTTCACTGGGGGCCGCTTCACTGGGGACCGCCTACGGATTGCAAAGGGGGGTTGGAGGCGGGCAGGGCAGGGAGGGGGAGGTTGGTGCCGTGCTATCCCCAAAACCCATACAACATTGTGGTCCATGAGACGCAGTGCTGACCCAAAACCCATACACCCCGTCCTACCTAATCCATGCCATGCGGTACGATGCTACTCCCTCACATTCGAGAACCCATCCACTTGCTCCTTGATATGCCATAGTATTCTTCCACCACCCACCTGGTCCATGATGTGTCATGCTATTCCCCGTTCCCCCTTTTCAAACACCCCTCCCCCACACCTGGTCAAGGATGTGACGCAGCATGGGCAGCAAAACAAACGCCAGCCTCTGTTCTAGCAACATGTGGCAGACCAGTCACTCAAACCACCCCCTTTCCAACCCCACACCCCCCATCTCCCCCCCCGAACCCTCCACCCCACCCCCTTCCCACCTGATCCAAGATATGCCGCAGCATGGGCAGCACGAACGCCAGCGCATTGCCCGACCCTGTTTTCGCAATCCCAATGCAGTCCCGCCTCCTCATCACGATGGGCAGTGCCTGCTCCCTCACCCACCCCCCCACCTCCCCCCACCCGGTCCATGACATGTCATGCTACTCCCCCGCCCACTACCCACATCCTCATCCCCCCTCCCATCCGGTCCATCATCTATCACGCTATCACCCCGAACGCTCCCCACCCACCTGGTCCATGATGTGTCGCAGCATGGGCAGCACGAACGCCAGCGTCTTCCCTGATCCCGTCTTCGCAATCCCAATGCAGTCCCGCCCGCTCATCACGATGGGCAGCGCCTGCGCCTGGATGGGCATCGGTTTCTCAAACCCCATCTTCTTGAGCACGTCCAGCACCTTGTTGCTCAGCCCGCTCTGCACCCACGTGTGCACCGGCTTCGGCACGTCCTTGGCACCCTCTCAACCCTTCCCTACCTGGTCCCCCTCCGTTTCGAACACCTCCCCCCTCTTACCTGGTCCATGATATGTCGCAGCATGGGCAGCACGAACGCCAGCGTCTTCCCCGACCCAGTCTTGGCAATCCCGATACAATCTCTTCCGCTCATCACGATGGGCAGCGCCTGCGCCTGGATGGGCATCGGTTTCTCAAACCCCATCTTCTTGAGAACGTCCAGCACCTTGTTGCTCAGCCCGCTCTGCACCCACGTGTGCACCGGCTTCGGCACGTCCTTGCCTCTCAGCTTGAACTCGTGCTCGCGCCGGTACAGAGCCACTTCATCGGCTGTCATCTTTGCGACTTCCTTCACCTCCTTGTAAAAGTTCTTCCTGAACGGCTCGTAATGCATCTGCCAGTGGTTCACGGGAAAGAGGGGGACGGGGGGGAAGGGCGGGGGAAGGGGAAGGGGAAAGGGAAGGGGGAAGGGGGGAGGGGGGAGGGGATGGAGGGTGAGGCGATGGAGGGAATGTGGTAAAGTAGGGGACTTGTGATGTGGTTCAGGGACCGGCTTGGGCACGTCCTTGCCGTGCAGCTTGAACTCGTGCTCGCGCCGGTACAGAGCCACTTCGTCCACTGTCATTTTCGCCACTTCCTTCACCTCCTTGTAGAAACCCCTTTCGAAACGCCTCGTAGTGCACCTGCCAGTGGAGTACGGGGTTGTGTAAATTCAAGCCTTTTGAGACTTTTCAGGCGCCTTGAGAATCTGGGCGCTCGGGGTGCGTCAAGAAAGGATAGAGACGTGTCGTCTGAACCTCGAAAAAAAATTGTAGTGTATTCACACCGCAGGTTCGAGCGGAACCACTTGTAGTGCGCCTGCCAGCGGTCCACCGGGGGACGAGAAGGTAGGCACGCTGCATGCACCTGAAACAACAAAACCTTTTGAGACCTGCCTAGAAAATTTCCCAAAACGTTTGAGCCGAAAGAAAATAGCTAGACGTTTCGAAAAAATACCAAAAGGGCTCTTTTTAAACACCCTGGAAGTGGTGCACCGCACTCCACTGGGGCGTGCTTTTTTTTTCTCATTACTGGGGAGGGGGGGGGGGGGGGGGGGGAGGGGGCTTTGGGTGAACCCAGGATGAAATCCGGTCCCCTTTCCCACCACAGGGGTGTGTAGTCGACTCGACAATGTGCATGGATGAACGCACTGCACCTGCGAGTGGTCCATTTTGTTTGAGGTTGATTTTGAGAATTCTCAAAATCAACCTCCCACCACAGAGGCGTGTAGTCGACAATGTGCATGGATGAAGGCACTGCACCTGCGAGTGGTCCATTTTGTTTGAGGTTGATTTTGAGAATTCTCAAAATCAACCTCCCACCACAGAGGCGTGTAGTCGACAATGTGCATGGATGAAGGCACTGCACCTGCGAGTGGTCCATTTTGTTTGAGGTTGATTTTGAGAATTCTCAAAATCAACCTCCCACCACAGAGGCGTGTAGTCGACAATGTGCATGGATGAAGGCACTGCACCTGCGAGTGGTCCATTTTGTTTGAGGTTGATTTTGAGAATTCTCAAAATCAACCTCCCACCACAGAGGCGTGTAGTCGACAATGTGCATGGATGAAGGCACTGCACCTGCGAGTGGTCCATTTTGTTTGAGGTTGATTTTGAGAATTCTCAAAATCAACCTCCCACCACAGAGGCGTGTAGTCGACAATGTGCATGGATGAAGGCACTGCACCTGCGCGTGGTCCATTTTGTTTGAGGTTGATTTTGAGAATTCTCAAAATCAACCTCCCACCACAGAGGCGTGTAGTCGACAATGTGCATGGATGAAGGCACTGCACCTGCGAGTGGTCCATTTTGTTTGAGGTTGATTTTGAGAATTCTCAAAATCAACCTCCCACCACAGAGGCGTGTAGTCGACAATGTGCATGGATGAAGGCACTGCACCTGCGAGTGGTCCATTTTGTTTGAGGTTGATTTTGAGAATTCTCAAAATCAACCTCCCACCACAGAGGCGTGTAGTCGACAATGTGCATGGATGAAGGCACTGCACCTGCGCGTGGTCCATTTTGTTTGAGGTTGATTTTGAGAATTCTCAAAATCAACCTCCCACCACAGAGGCGTGTAGTCGACAATGTGCATGGATGAAGGCACTGCACCTGCGAGTGGTCCATTTTGTTTGAGGTTGATTTTGAGAATTCTCAAAATCAACCTCCCACCACAGAGGCGTGTAGTCGACAATGTGCATGGATGAAGGCACTGCACCTGCGCGTGGTCCATTTTGTTTGAGGTTGATTTTGAGAATTCTCAAAATCAACCTCCCACCACAGAGGCGTGTAGTCGACAATGTGCATGGATGAAGGCACTGCACCTGCGCGTGGTCCACAGGGGCGAGTTTCTCCGCCTTGGTCTGCGCCACGGCTGTCACTCGCTTCACAAACTCCGCATCCTCCTCCTCTCCCTTCTTGCCACCCTCCCCTCCCTCCTCGCCCTCCTCCTCCTCGCCTGACTCGCCCGCCCCTCCCCCCTCGTCTTCTGACTCAGAGTCCACACCAAACACCATGCGCCCCTTGGGTCCCTTGCCCTTCCTCTTCCCCTCTGCTTTCCCTTTCTCTTTCTCCTTCCCCTTCTCCTTCTCTTTCTTTCCCTTGGCGCCATCCTTGTCCGCCCCTCCACCAGACCCCGCCCCCATCAGCGCATCTCCACCGTTGGCAGCCTGGGACGAGCTGCTGCCGCCCGCTGCTGGCTCTGCGCCTCCCGCCCGGGCGGCGGGCCGGGCGGCATCCTTGGCGTCTAGCTTGGCGACCTCTGGGAGCACTAAAGAGTTCATGAACGCATCTAGCGGATCCACCTCCTCTTCCTCCTCCTCTGCTGCCTTTTCTGCTGCCTCCTCCTTTGCCTCCTCCTCCTCCTCCTCCTCCTTGCCCTTCCCCTTTAGATCCCTTTTCCGCTTCTCTCCCTCCTCTTCGTCCTCTCCCCCCTCTCCCTTCCCTCCCTCCCCTCCCTCGTCCACATTCATTCCCCGTCCCTCTTCTCCTTCCCCCTCTTCCTCCACTTTCTCCTTACCCTTCCCTTTCCCACCCTTTCCTTCCTTCCCCTCCTCCCCCTCCATATCCCCACCCCCGCCCTTCTCCTCCTCATCATCCGATTCCCCATCCAGAGTCCACCCGCGCCCCTTCCCTCCCCCACCCGCCTGCGCCGCGCTGCTCCCCCCCGCGCCCCCGCTTCCGCCCTCCCCCCCTGCGCCTGCAGCTGCGCGCGCCTGCTCCTCCGCCGCCTTCTTCCGCCGCTGCTCCTGCCACTCCTGCACCCTCCGCCTGCGCCTCTCCATCTCCTCCGCCAGCCTCCGCTGCTCCGCATCCATCTCCTCCTCCCCCTCAACCCCCTTCCCCTTTTCCTCCTTCCCCTTATCCTCCTTCCCCTTATCCTCGTTCCCCTTATCCTCCTTCCCCTTCTCCTCCTTCCCCTTCTCTTCCTTCCCCTTATCCTTCCCCTTCCCCTCATCTTTCCCCTTCTCCTTTTCCGCCTTCACCTCTGCGCCTCTCTCGCCCCGCCCACCCTCATCCTCCTTCGCGCGTTTCCGTCTCCCCTCCTCGCCCTGCCCCTTCCTCCCGCCCTCATCCCCTTCATCGTCGGCCTCTCTCCTTCGCCTTCTGGAATCGCGTTCCTTTTCCCTCTCCCTCTCCTTTTCTCGCTCCCGTCGTTCTCTTTCCTTTTCCCTTTCTCTCCTCTCTCTCTCCCTCTCCCGTTCTCTCTCTCTTTCCCTCTCCCTCTCCCTTTCCCTCTCCCTCTCTCTTTCCCTCTCCCTCTCTCTGTCCTTCTCCCTCTCCCTCTCCTTCTCCCTCTCTCTCTCCCTCTCCCTTTCCTTCTCCCTCTCCCTCTCTTTCCGGATCTTCTCTCTTGCTCGCTCTTCCTTCTCTCGTTCGTCCGCTCTCACCCTCTCAATCCTTTCCCTCTCAATCCTCTCCCGCTCGCTCCTATCCCTCCCTTTGCTCCTGTCCTTCTCCCGCCCCAAGTCGCGGCCCTCGCGCTCACCCCCCTTCCTCCGCGCATCCTCCTCCCTTCGCGCCAGTCCCCCTTTCACCTCCCGCCTAACCACTTCCCCCCCATCCTCCTCCTCCTCCTCGTCCCACTCCTCGCTCTCCTCGTCTCTCCTACCAGGCCGGAACGACCGTTTGCCCTTCCCACCCTCGTCCTCCCTCTCGCCCTTCTCACCACCGTCTCGCGGCCCTTTTCCCTTCTTAAAGCTCACTTTCCCGGATTCTTTACTTCCCGAGACACCCAATTTCCCCTCCTCGCCCTTCAAGCCTTTCCCTTCTTTCATCTTCGCATCGCCATTGACTCTGCTGTGCATCCCGTCGCGTTTCTTCCTATGCACGAGATCCGCTTCTTCCTCGTCCTCCTCTTCCGCCGAAAATTCATCCGACGAATACTGAACCTTCGGCCGATCCTTAACTGACACGTCAGCAGCACCCTTCACTCGCTTGTCGCTCGCAGAGCCCTTCGCGGCCTTCGCCCTTTCGCCAGGATCCGCGCCTCGGCCTCGCGATGCGACAGCTTCCTTCGCACGCTTTCCCTTCGGCACCGCGTCCTCGTCAGACGAATAATCGTCATCCGAGTCGCCCCCCGTCGGTCTCCGGAACGGTTTCCGTCGGTGACCGTCACCGTCATCCTGCTTAGGTCGCGCTCCCTTTCGAAACTCCTCTTTCCTGGTCGACATCTTAGCGGTACGAGATCCTGCGAGGTTTGATCAAAAGAGAGGCTGGGTGAGAATCGAAGAAAGATGATGCTTCTTGCTGCGACTAGATCCAAGACGTGCTCAACTCCTAAATCGGTTCTGGGAGTGTTCACTGCCTCCGCAAATCGACATTCGTGGTGAGACAAATTTGCAAATTGAGAAGGTTAGGTCATGGAAAAATTGTATGCTGGTCATGAGAGGAAACACAGTGTTTCACCGAATTGAACTTTATTGTACCGCACGCAAATCCTCCGAAAACCCTTTGAAAGGATGTTGCAATTTACCCAGCTACCAGTAGGTTTCGCGAAAACAGCAGGAACCGTGGCAGTAGAAAGCAAACCCACACGTATTGGATGAACCCGTGGGACACTCTCTAGGACCATCTTTTTCTCAGCCTCGCCTCGGGATTGTTTCTGGCGAGAATGCTCCCACTTTCCCCTCAGCGAAAACCCCTCTCATCGTCTGCGAAAACCAACTTATTCGCTAGCGAAACCTCGGGGGTTGTTGGGGACTCCTTTCGCGCGAATGCAGTGTTCTTGAATCTTGGATGCTGTTTGCTGTTCGCCAGATTGCTCGCCGACTGACTGACGACAGCTTGAACGGTGGAATCATCGGTGCACTCGTTAGGGTTATTCCTTTTTCTCCTCCAAGTAGTTACCTTACTCGGGTCAGCTACAGTACAAGGTCGCCTCGACGCTACTAGAAACAGCACACTTATCGTCGTCGTGTAGTCGTGAGCTCGACCCAGCAGGTTGCGAACAGCAGGAACGGCGACGAAAGGATTTGGAGGTTGGGGTCGATAATCGGCGTCTGCCCTGACAGCGGTAGACAGCTATTAGCAGCGGTAGACAGGGATAAGCCTCTTGGGTTAGCTGTAATGGACGGCGGCGTAGGGAAGGCGGGTCGAGATAGACCTTCGTCGAGGTCGCATCCATACGACAAACGAAAGGTACGTGTCTGAATTGCGACTTCAGCTCGCGCGAAACTGTTAGTTGTTTTTCACTTGTCACCTTAATTTGGACAGCTCGTAGACGCGCCAGCTTCGGTCCACTGGCAAGCTTCGTAGCTCTACACACCAACCAGTTTCACCACGTTGGCTCTCTACCCCGTCCCTCCCCCTACCTCCTCCCCCACCCCTTCCCTCCTCCCCTCCCTCCCCCGCACCCTCCCACCCTCCCACCCACAGGAGTCGTCAGGCAGGTCGGGCCCGCCGCCGGACGAGCGGACGGAGAACAAGCTGTATGTGGGCAACCTGGACCACCGCGTCACGGAGTAAGTGGTTCTTGAGAATTCTCTGCGAGAGAATTCTGAAGTTTCGAGCTGTGGGGTACTCCGGGTGACGGAGTGGGTTATATTCATGTGTTTCATGTGTTGTTGGGAGGGATGTGCTGCTCTGCACGCATGTTCTTTTCGGAGGCACGTGATGCACGCATGTTGTGTTGGGAGGCACGTGGTGCATGCATGTTGTGTGGGAGGCACGTGGTGCATGCATGTTGTGTGGGAGGCACGTGGTGCATGCATGTTGTGTGGGAGGCACGTGGTGCATGCATGTTGTGTGGGAGGCACGTGGTGCATGCATGTTGTGTGGGAGGCACGTGGTGCATGCATGTTGTGTGGGAGGCACGTGGGCCATGCATGTTGTGTGGGAGGCACGTGGTGCATGCATGTTGTGTGGGAGGCACGTGGTGCATGCATGTTGTGTGGGAGGCACGTGGTGCACTCAAAAGTCACCTCTTTATCACCATGTGCCATGCTGCCTGTCTCTTGCTGCACGGCCCCGCAGGTACCACGTGATCAGGATGTTCACCCCGTACGGCAAGATCCGCCGCGAGGAGTATCTGTGGCACACGTATGGGCCCAAGCGGGGCGAGCCTCGGGGCTATGCGTTTGTGGAGTACAGCAAGCGAGAGGTGCGTTGGGGTGGACCAAGCAAAGAGGCAAGCAATCAAGTGTTTACAGAATGGGCAGCAAGCTAGCTTGGGTGGGGGATGGGGCTAGCATGGGTCATGGCTCATATGCCTGTGGTTCTTGCTGTGGTTGTGGTTGTGGTTGTGGCCGTGGCCGTGGCGGTGGCGGTGGCGGTGGCGGTGGCGGTGGCTTTGACAGTGGCTGTGGTTGTGGCTGCTCTTACTGTCACTCACCTCCTGTCCACCACTTCCCCCCTCTTCCACCACCATCTTCCTACTCACAGCACTTTACAATCTTGAGACATCATGAAATTCGAGTTTTGAGGCGTTTGAAATTTCACATCTACTGTTTTTGACACCCACAGTAATTGAACAAGACTCACGCCATCTTCGCACAGTTTTGAGACATCACTAAAATATTCCCAGTCACACCGCCCCACTCACACCATCTTCCCCCATCACCCACCCTCAACCAATCAGGAAGCTGAGCTGGCTCGCTCCAAAATGAACGGTCGGACGGTGTTTGGGCGGCCGCTGGTGGTGCGATTCGTGGATGAGAAGGTGGTCACTTACAACACCGATGCCCCCGTGTGGAACCGACACACCGGCACCACCACTGCTGCACCCGCCTCTGCTGCTGCTGCTGCTCCGGGTGCTGCTGGTGCGGCTGGTGTGGGACGAGGGGGGGGTGCGGGAGCAGCGGTGGCGACGGCGTCGGCAGCAGACGGTGCGAAGCGGGCGCGGGTGGCGGCGATTCAGAGCAAGCTGAGAGCCATGGAGCAGGAGGACCGGCAGCGCAAGCAGGGGCAGGCGCCCAAGACTATGAACATGATTCGCCCTCCGCCGTCGGGGTTTGGGGGTGGGTTCCCCCCCGGGGCTGGGAGGGGTGATGGGGGAGATGGTGGAGGAGGGGGTAGAGGTGGAGGGGAAGGGAGAGGGGCGGGAGGGGGGTACTCGCGGACGCTGTTGCAGTCGGGGACAAGATGGTCGGCATGGGGGTAGGCTTGGTTGCACGCAGGATGGCTTGCTTGTTGTGGTGCATGCTGTTGATTCTAGTGTGTCTTTCTATCATGCAGAAGGTAGGGAGTTGTTGTATACTGAGAAATGGATGTAAAAAAGCAAGCATCTTTCACGGATGAAGGAATCATTGTTTTGACTTCACAAAATACCCCATGATGCTTGGCGATTTAGTGCTGTAAATACAATAGTGAAAGTGGGATGTGTGAACATAAAGTGTGTACCACTAAGGTCGTATCCCCGGCTAGTGGCAAGAGTGAGTTGGTGGCAACCTAGAACTTCGGAACCCAAGCAATTGGCCGATTGTCTTTCTTGGACCAATCTAGTGCGCTCCAAAACTTCAGGTTGCCACCAACTCATTCTTGCCACTAGCCAGGGATACGAACTAAGATTGTTTTTGCTTGTGAAGCAGCCTGGTGCTAGGTGGATTTAAGTCTGTCCATGTCCATGTCATGTCAAGTATATATCTGAAGTGTTCACATACTCGCATGGTTTACAAAGGTGTACTTGTAATCACTTAAGCACGGTGATGATGTAGTTTGACCTCGCAGATTGTAGCTGAACCTGTAGATCCTTCTCGAAAATGTCATTTTTATTCGAAGGAGCCGAACAGATTTTTCGGGTCTAGTGTGTCCGAAAGAACTTTCTGAACGACGTATCGCTTGTTCAGTCGCTTTTGTGATTGGCTACATTATTTCGCTGAGTTCGCGAAGCAAATACTTCCTTCACATTCCGTCCACGTCAGCCGTCGCTAGCATACAAGTGTCTTCGCCGCTTCGCCAAAGAACCATTACATTCTCGAAGCTTCCACGTGGCTTGGTTCCCGAAACCTCTGAGCGGCAAAGCAAGCTGCGATCTGTGTCGTGCGTGCCGTTGAGGGTTTAGCTCCAAATAGATTTATTCGTTCAAAGCAAACCGTCTCTCGTGAATTCTTGATCTGCTTTTTCGTTGCTGTGCTTTCAGCAACTGCTACGAGGGCGTTTATCTGCCGATCCAGATTTAACGATCTCACTTCCTGCTTCGGCGTGCTTCCTGGTTGATTTTGTTAAGTTACTTCCTCGCTAACTTGTCGATCGCCGTTAGAGACGACACGCCATGGCTTCAGAAGCTTCCCCTGCCGTGGAGGCTCAGGGTACCGATGTGGAGACGTTCGCGTTTCAGGCTGAAATCAACCAGCTGCTCAGTCTGATCATCAACACCTTCTACAGCAACAAGGAGATCTTCCTTCGCGAGCTCATCTCCAATGCATCTGACGTAAGCAATAACCTCCGTAATCCCAGTTGAAAATCGTTATGAATCTAGTAAATTGTTAATCCACGAACCTCGTAAATTAACTGGGGATTGATGCTGCGGATTGCGTGCAGGCCTTGGACAAGATTCGGTTCGAGTCGCTAACGGACAAGAGCAAGCTGGACAAGCAGCCGGAGCTGTTCATCCACATCATCCCCGACAAGACCAACAAGACCCTCACCATCATCGACTCGGGCATCGGCATGACCAAGGCTGGTGCGTCCCGCGCTTGAGCTTTTCGACATAACTAAGCAGCCTCAGATCTTAATCTTCGTTCTTAACAATTAACATAAGTGACTGAATCTAGGACTGCAATTAGCGGGGTTTTGATAAAGCTGGAACTTCTATTTTTTTGCTGATCCGGTGCATCCCGTGGTCTTGCAGATCTAGTGAACAATCTCGGAACCATCGCGCGATCCGGCACCAAGTCGTTCATGGAGGCTCTGTCGGCGGGCGCGGACATCAGCATGATCGGGCAGTTCGGCGTGGGGTTCTACTCGGCGTACCTGGTGGCGGACAAGGTGGTCGTGCACACCAAGCACAACGACGATGAGCAGTACATCTGGGAGTCGCAGGCCGGCGGCTCCTTCACCGTCGCGCGCGACGCTGGTAAGAGCGGCGCTCTCTTTAACACGTGTGTAACGTCCCTTGTTTCACGCCAGTCTGCAGGTTTCCGATCTCGCTCCCTTTCTGCTTTAAACGATACTGCACCACGTGATTCGAGTCTGTTACCCTAAATCTGTACGAATTCGTCGCTTATTGTCGCTTTCTGTCGCTCGTGTACTGTCGCCTGCTGACGCATGCAGGCGAGGAGCTCGGACGCGGAACGAAGATTGTGCTGTACCTGAAGGAGGACCAACAGGAGTACCTGGAGGAGCGGCGGCTCAAGGACCTGGTGAAGAAGCACAGCGAGTTCATCAGCTACCCCATCTCTCTCTGGGTTGAGAAGACGACTGAGAAGGAGGTGGAGGACGAGGACGAGGAGGAGGAGAAGGAGAAGGAGGAGGAGGAGGGCAAGGTGGAGGACGTGGAGGAGAAGGAGGAGAAGGAGAAGAAGACGAAGAAGGTGAAGGAGGTGACGAGCGAGTGGGAGCTGATGAACAAGCAGAAGCCGGTGTGGATGCGCAACCCGGACGAGATCTCCAAGGAGGAGTACGCCGCGTTCTACAAGAGCCTCAGCAACGACTGGGAGGAGCCGCTCGCGTACAAGCACTTCTCCGTTGAGGGACAGGTCAGTTGTTGCTCTCTCGCTGTTACTCTTTTGTTTGTTCGCTTGTTCCTGTCAACGAGAAAGTACCAGGCAATGAACCAAGGGCTTGAAGCAAGCTGAAAATTCTAGACCACTTCTCACGATCTTATTGATTCGATAAGCCGTCGTCTGCAAGCCCGCTAACGTTCTGATCATCTCACCCCGCGCTCCCTCTCCTCCCCCCCCCCCCCCCGCGGCGCAGCTGGAGTTCAAGTCGATCCTGTTTGTGCCGAAGCGCGCGCCGTTCGACCTGTTCGACGGGAAGAAGAAGGCGAACAACATCAAGCTGTACGTGCGGCGCGTGTTCATCATGGACAACTGCGAGGACATCATCCCCGAGTACCTCGGCTTCATCAAGGGCATCGTCGACTCCGAAGACCTCCCGCTCAACATCTCCCGCGAGATGCTCCAGCAGAACAAGATTCTCAAGGTAAGCACGCGACGCCATCCATAACGTTGTTTATGGCGGGATGCTGCTGTCTGCTGCAGTCACCTGACTGCGATGTCCCAGTCCCGACCCCACCCACCCTTTTCGTTCTACCGAATGCACTTTCACCAAGTCAGCGGGTACTAGTGCGTGAATGAACAACAGTTTTAAGGTTTGTTCTCATCCTTACCCAAACCCCCATTCTCTAATGCTCCCGTCCTTCTACGTGTCGCGTCCGCTCTCCCTCTCCGCAGGTGATCAAGAAGAACATCGTGAAGAAGTGCCTGGAGCTGTTCGCGGAGATCGAGGAGAACAAGGAGGACTACGCCAAGTTCTACGAGTCGTTCGGCAAGAACCTCAAGCTGGGCATCCACGAGGACTCGCAGAACCGCGCCAAGCTCGCCGACCTGCTGCGCTACCACAGCACCAAGTCGGGCGAGGAGATGACCTCCCTCAAGGACTACGTCACGCGCATGAAGGAGGGGCAGTCCGTGATTTACTACATCACTGGTGAGAGCCGCAAGGCAGTTGAGAACTCGCCGTTCCTGGAGAAGCTGAAGAAGCGCGGGTACGAGGTGCTGTTCATGGTGGATCCCATTGATGAGTACGCCGTGCAGCAGCTTAAGGAGTATGATGGGAAGAAACTCGTGTCTGCCACCAAGGAGGGTCTGAAGCTGGAGGAGACGGAGGAGGAGAAGAAGAAGCTGGAGGAGACCAAGGCTGCTTTCGAGCCTCTGTGCAAGCTGATGAAGGACATCCTGGGCGACAAGGTGGAGAAGGTGCAGGTGTCGGATCGCATTGTGGACTCGCCGTGCTGCCTGGTGACGGGCGAGTACGGGTGGAGTGCGAACATGGAGCGGATCATGAAGGCGCAGGCGCTGAGGGACAGCAGCATGAGCAGCTACATGATGAGCAAGAAGACCATGGAGATCAACCCTGAGAATGGGATCGTGCAGGAGTTGAAGAAGCGGGCTGATGCGGATAAATCGGACAAGACTGTCAAGGACCTCGTGCTGCTGCTCTTCGAGACTGGTAAGCACCCTTCTCTATCCCCCGTTATTTGTACCTTGAAGCTGCTATGCCCTGTTGATTAGCCTCTCACCCCCCCATGTTTGGTTCTACATGTGAAGCGTGCATGTGAGCGACTTGCTAATGTGTGCCCTCCCTGTTACCTCTCTGCAGCCCTGCTCACCTCGGGATTCAGCCTGGAGGAGCCCAACACATTCGGAGGCCGCATTCACCGCATGATCAAGCTGGGCCTGAGCATTGACGATGACATCCCTGCTGATGATGATGCTGACATGTCTGCTCTTGACGAGGGTGCGGATGAGGGCTCCAAGATGGAGGAGGTCGACTAATATGCTTGTCTAGGGAAATTGGTTTCGTTTTTTGTTAACGTGGTACGATACCAGTTTTGCGTGAAGCTGATCTACTGTCCGTGTCTGCATGCTAAGGCTTTTCCTGACTAGTATGATGTTCAGGGTTTAAGAATTAGCTTTCTTTTATGCAATCTATATAGATAATTGATACCTTGAAGCAGCTAGAGAACGCATTCTTCCAAATCTTAAGAGATTAAAAAACCTTCAGACGAAAGATTAATTTGACAAGATGTACTGAACGAAAATATGAAATGAAGTTGCACAATGAAGCTCAGGGCATAAAATCTTCTTAGAACGTTATGTTCTCGTTTTGAAAAGCTGGTGATTCTGTAAGGGGTATGGAACCTAGGGTCTCGTGCAGAGCACCACCTCGATCTCACATCTCGCCATCCCTATCCCCTCAGCTCGCAACTCACAAGACAGCCGGCCTAGCTTCCCTCACTGACCATACACTAGTTAGCAAGGAGCAACTTTGATCGACGGTGTAGATTTGCTGCTGGATAATGTAGGGCATCCAGACGACGCATGAGTAACATGGCACTTGGTTCCTCCTGTCAGCCACCCTCACCTTCCCATTCTTCGGAAAGAACTGCTGTCCATTTGTCACGTGACTTAACCCGCGGAGACTCGCCACGCATGT